TGACTCGAATTGCCAGAACCGACGACGAGGACTTTCTTCGAAGAGAGGTCGGAGACAGTGGAGGCGTCCTGGTGCTGGCTTCCGTGATATACCGTGCCCTTGAACGCGGACTGGTTCGGGAACGTCGGCGTGATGGGATCGCCGGCCTGGCCTGTGGCGAGGACGATGTGGCGCGGGTGCAAGGTGCGGGTGCTCCCGTCGCCGCGGCGGAGGGTGATCGTCCAGGTCTTAGACTGGTCGTCGTAGGATGACTCCGCGATTTCGGTAGAGGTCCAGACGTTGAGTTCCATCATTGTTGCATAGGACTCGAGCCAGTCGGCTAGCTTGTCTTTAGGCATGAACATGGGCCAGTTAGATGGGAAGGGGATGAAGGGAAGGTGACAGTATTGGATCGGATCGTGGGTCATGAGCGTCTGATAGGTGTCAGATGCCGGCGGAGTTGATCTCGGAGATTATCTGGCTTACCCTATATCGTTTGCGCCAACTGTCGCCTACACGCTCATTGCGGTCGATCATAAGGGCTGAGACTCCAAGATGTCGGAGTCGGACGCCAATGTTGATTCCAGCATGGCCTATACAAGTCGACATCAGCGATGGCCCCAACTCACTGTTGGCTTCAACGTCCACTCACCGGCACCAACGACCAGTACAGCAGGGTCTTCATCAAGGAACTCCCTCTCCCTATCCCGCCTCTCCTTCCAATTCCCACCCTTGGGGTCAACCTTCCCCGTCGGCCTATTGATCCCGGCTTTCTCCTCGACGTTCTTCAGCTCTTGAAGGGTGAAGTTGATCATGTACGCTTTCCACACATTATCCTCCTCTTCGACCAGTCGCACGACTCCCTTCCCACGACCGACATCGTTCTCAAAATCAAACATGCTGTCCACCCAGTGAACCCCCGGGGCGACGGTTCTGAAGGCCGGGGCAAAGGCACCCGTCTCGCGGGGCTCAATGTTCCGTAGACCTGTCTGTCGGAGGTTCTCCTGGAAGTAACCGCTTATCCTGTGAAGGCCCTGGATGGTGCGGAAGTCCCAGGAGAGGCTGAGAAAGTCACGAATCCAGGCATCGCTGCGGAAAAGAGAGGGCAATTCGGCGAGGTCGCCATTGGTCAGCAGCTGATTGAACTTGTCTACCCAGCCTGCGATCACCTCTCGCGCGTATTCGGGCGTCTTGGAGAAGGGCTCCCGGAACGTGGGAAGCTTGATCGAGTGCTGTATCTTGGTCATTTCGGCATACAACTTGATGTAGATCTCCAGGTAATTGTGGTGTTGGAGTGAGGTTTGGAGAAGTTGGGGTCAGAAGCGGGGAGCTGCGGCCGGCGCCAGGGTCCAGACTTTAAACCAGCTTCGTACGACATCGGAGTTGCTGGTGTTCCTAGTGAGGGCCGAGTCAACTGAGGGGCTGATCTCAGCTGGATGTCCACAGTGCCTGTTGTTGCTTTTTCTAGACTTGAGGCTTGACATCACAAAGGCTGCGGGCCATGCTGGTTGGCCGATGTCGTCGCACATGGGGATGATTGTGACGATCAGATATGCATGTCTGAGTTGGTATGACCAATCATGCATGGCAGTGCTCTATTTCATGGCGAGGCAAACTGCCCCTCCTCAACAATCTGGATCTTTCACAATCGTGTAAAGTGGGATTGGTTGCTCTGTGTGGAGGGCCCCGACTGGCTTCATGCAGGTTGGCGGGCAATGATGGTGAGGGGTTGGCTTCGGCGGCGTTGACCCGAGTGGGCTCAGCATCCACCCGAGGGAGTTGAAGCCCATAATTCCAGTATGAAAATGGTGATGCACAGTTTGCTTGTCCTACTAATGCCAGGTCTAATCCTTCACCCCCTCGATGAGATTCTTGATGCCCTCGCCATTTGCCGTCTTATCCCAAGCAGCGGTAGCGTTCTCGAAAGGAGTAATGCTCGAGAGTAACGCCTTGGTGTTGATTCCCCCTTGTGCAATGAGAGCAAGGGCCGTCTCGTAGTCTCCAGAGCCATAGCGAAAGCATCCTCTGACTTTGAGCTCCTTCTCAGACAACGCGAGCATAGGAACCTCGGGCCTGGCCTTCCCCAGTCCCGCCTGAACATAACTGCCTCCGCGCTTCAGCAAGTAGATGCCCGTCTGGATCGAAGACTGCGCTCCAGAAGCCTCGATTACAGCATCCACTCCCTCATTCATGTCGAACTTCTTCAAGAGCTGCGAGGCAGTCTCCTCGCTATCCGTCTTGATATCCGCGAGGAACGTTTCGCACTCCACAAACGACCTCGCAAACTCGAGCTTCCTCTCGAGGATATCCACAAGCACAACCCTCTTCGCCCCAAATGCCTTCGCCACCGCGGCGGAAAGCAGTCCAATCGTTCCGGACCCGGCCACAACGACATCCTGCCCATACCTGATCTCCGCTAGACGAGCAGAGTGAACAGCCACGGCAGTCGGCTCGACCAGCACCGCCTCCTGCAGGCTCACCTCCTCGGGGACCTTGTATACAAAGTCCTCCGGCACAGCAAAGTACTTCGTCAGCGCGCCGTGATTGTCCGGCGGGTCTGCGGCGAAGGCCATCTGCGGACAGAGATTGTACACGCCGTCCTTGCAGTTCTTGCAACGGCGGCAGGGGAAGCCTGGTTCGATGGCGACTTTGTCGCCTACTTTGACGGAAGTGACGCCGGGCCCGGCTGAGGAGATTGTTCCCGATGCTTCGTGGCCCATTACAAGAGGGTTTGAGGTGCTGACTTTGCGCATGAAGCCGCCTTCTTGCCAGAAGTGGACCTGAGAATGTGAGTCTTCAGGGCGGGTAGGAAGGGAAGGGGAAATTACATCGCTGCCGCAGACGCCCACATATTTGATTTTCACAATCACATCGTGGTCATTTTTCATTTCTGGTACCGGGCGGTCTTCGAGCTTGGCCGAGCCTGGACCGTAGAGAAACCACGAGGGGTTCTGCATCCCTGATGTGCTTGACATGGTGCCGAGAATAGCTAGGAAAACGCGCAATTTTGAGGTGAACAATTGATGAACGGTAGGTTCGAGGATACTTGGAGTGTATCTGAGAGAATGAATGATGTCCACAGTGAATCAAGGTTGCTGAGTCTTAGTTCAACTATGCAGCGACAGGCTTTCTCCGCACCTGACATCACGGCTTTAGTACGAGAAGACATCGGGCGACAGTCGTCCGAGCCCGGCCCCGCTGTCTCCAACGCCGGGAATCCACCGGGAAATCGGAGGCCGTCCATTCATAGATCTCGCACTCCGTCGCGTTCCCAAGGACACGTCCGTCTTTTCGCACACGTGACCCAAAGTGAATATGAATGGAAACCTCAGCATGTGGCGACGTCAGATGGATATCTTACGGTCAAAGGGGTCCCAGAGGAAAATTTAGCGACAAGTCTTCGAATTTCATCAATTGACCTGTCCATAGACGGTCAGCTATGCGAAGAGGTCGAAATCATGGGGTTCTCACTCCCTCAGATACGTCCTTTCACCAGGAAAAAGTGTAGCCGCTTGTAAGTTGAATCTTCTGGACGCCAAGATCAGTTACAAGCCGGCGGTGAAGTGCGTGGACGATGTACAGGGCATAAAGGGTATTGCCATCGTCATAGTCCTCAATGGGATCTGATTTGACAATGAGAGAGTGATATGCGTCGAAGTATTCTTGTGTGAATTTGTTCCGCTTCGGCCGCCAATTCCCCAGTTCGTCTACGAGTTGGTAGACATTAGCATTATATCCGATGTAAGTATATGATTGATGAAACTGACATTCATAGTGCGCCCAGAAACTGGCCGGGTCGTATACGATACCCTTTCTAGTGTCCTCGTCGATGCTGGCGTTGCCGTATCACAAATATCCATGCACCAGCAAAGGCTTCAAAGTTCGGCCGGCGGTCTCCAACGGACGCAACAGTCTCGGAATCACAGGCCCAAAAAGTTCAGGCAAAAGTTGTTCGAGCTCAGCACTAGGTCCGGCTCTATCCTCTCGCACATTCAGTAAATGACGCAAGCTTTTCGAAAAGAACTCTTCCCAATTATTCGACCAAGTGTTGTCCTGGGGGATGTCACCGTTGTACGTGACACATTGAAACCCGAAATCGCCGCGAGGAGATCTGCGGGAATGCAACTGAGCCAACTCCTTGCAGAAGCTGCCAGGGGCAGAAGACGTCCACTCAGGTTGTGGAATTCGCAAATGTAGAAGTGCGAATTGGTGTCACGTTCGTAGGTACCGCAAGCAATCGGTCTAGGACAAAAGTCCGGAGCGCGGTAGTGTATGGCGGAGGTGGCGGCAAACTCGCCTTCAAGCGCCTCTTTTCCCTGTGCTCCGTAAGAAACCTGTGAGCTCAATCATCAGCATTTGCCATCGCTGAAAGTTCAATTAGAAGTGATGACCTTGACAAAATATTGCTCTTCGCTCTTGTCTCTGTGGCGAATGGTCAGGCAGAATGTGGTTGCCCATTCTGATTGGGAAAGTTGTGTCATAGAAGTGACGCTGTCAACATCGTTCAAAGCTAGAATCGCAATCTCAGACCATGCTCGGTGTCGAATCGAGGCACTCGCTGACCAGTTACGATCCGTGGATCAACAGAACAAACTTTCTCGGGCAGAATGTTGGTTTCGAGGGACGTTATCCTTTCAGCCAGCTATGGTCCATTCTCTCCTGGCTTGTTTATATGTTACATCCAAAACCATCCGATCTTTTGGCGGTGAGAGGTGACGACCAGTTTCTTATCTGGTGGGCACAGGTTGGTCTGTTGATGATGTACCGGGATTAATCCAGCACAGGGATATTTGCGAAAGGGCGGTTAATGCTTCATAAGGGTTGGCCCGTTGGCTTCTATTCTCAGGGATGTTTCTTTACTCTTTTAAGTTCCTCCGCCTCTACTTACTAAGCGCACATACTAGCGGCTTATTGAGTACCTTTGAATTACCCCGCGCATCTAATCGTCTGAGATTCAATCACTTTACACCATCAAATGACCAGGCTCAGGGTCTTGAAGCTCCAGACAAACGGTTGCCACCATGTCTTTTCCTCAGACCTTCACTTTGAATAATGGCCGAAAAGTTGGCTTTGGAACCTTCCAGGGAACCCAGGGCAACTCTAAGGTCAAGGATGCCGTGAAGCTGGCGCTGAGCCTTGGTTATAGGCACATTGACGGGGCCAACGCATACGGTAACGAGAAAGACATTGGAGAAGCTATCGAAGAAAGTGGAATTCCGAGGGAAGAGATATTTGTGACGTCTAAGCTGTAAGCAACATATGCTGAATATGCTGGTTTCCCAGTCCCACGATAAGATTATAACATATTAGCTCGTCAGCGCCCAAACCTGGCATGAGCCCGCCGACGTTGAGAGAGCTCTTGAAACCTCTCTACGTGACCTTCAACTAGATTATGGTAGGATTACTTTCTGCAAAACCCGATTATTGGATTGATTTGGAACAATGTAGTTGACCTATATCTCATGCATTGTATGTCATGAAAATGCCTCCTTGTCGTTATGGTGTATGGCTAAGACATCACAGTTCCTCATGCCTACAAAGCCGGCGAAAATAATAGTACTATAAGGCACCCGAGTGGCAATGGAAAAATTGGTGTTTCAATCTGCATATGACTACGGTAGCTCGTTTCTAACACTAAACACAGCCTGTTATTGACTACGAACTTTCTTGACGGTTTCCGGAAACGTGGCAAGAGGTGGAAAAGCCGGTGGACTCGGGCGAAGCTCGATCTATCGGTGAGTCATGTACATGCTCGTGAATATATGTCGAGGACCGAAAGCTGAGATCAAGAAGGGCTTTCCAACTTCAACATCCTCAAGACAAAGCGAATACTTGAAGTTGCTAGAATTGCTCTAGTGGCTATCCAGGATGAGCTTCACCCGTATGTTCACAACGTTTCTCGGCTTTCTTACCGCGAAAGGTTACTTGCCACAACATGACCTTCTTGATTTCTCACCAAAGCAAGACGGGCATACGGCTAGCCCCAGAGTTGCTCGGCAAGACATGTCGCCCTAACGTGCTACAGGTAATTGAAGTCTCCAACAATGCGGGATGTCTCCAGCCCAGGTAGGTTGACATTGCTACAAAAAGAAGTATAACATCTGACCAGTCATCAGGTCTGTCTCTCTTGGGCTGTCCAGAGAGGAACTGCTATAGTACCAAAATCCGTCAGTAGAGCCCAGATGACGCAGAATCTGGGACTGCAACTACTTCCGAAACATCTCTTCAATTTTGTTAACGAGTTGTTTTCTGAACGGGGTCCGCTGCGATTCCCAGACCCTGGCTGCCACTTGGGGTTTGACATATTTGATGAGGAAAACGATCAGCCGGTGATGAACTCTGCACCGTGGGATTAGATGCATTGCATGCAAGTTTTGATGCATTGTTTCTTTCCGGAAGATGATTGTGACCGCCATGCTTGCCGGATTCTGATTATCGAGCATGGACTGATTGGAATGGGAAGGGGCTTTGAGATGCTCAAGCCACAGCGTGGGCACTCGGTCTTCTAGTAGTCCACGAACAAAGCCTCATTGGGAAAGCGGACTTCTGCTGTATTTTCATGCGTGAAAAGTCATGCGGGGAATTCTACGCAACTTGAATTCGTTCTTGCTCTGTTCCAGCAGCGGTCTTTAGTCGCTGGCCTGGCTATGCTCTCTACTGCTTCAGTCAGGACGATGAACCGAATATTCTGGTACAGAAAATGAAGATATACAGCTCATTGAGGGTGGCGTTTCTCCATTACATTATAGCCTCTCTATGAAATGAACTTGACGGCTTCAATGTTGTCGGGCGGTCAAAGAGAGTCAAAAAGTTCTCTGACAACTTGTCGATTCTCAGCAGATGGTTCCTGGCAGCAAAGTCAATTGCCCCGACGATAACACCGCCATCCTGGTTGCGCGAGGCGCTAGCTGGCCAACTACACGCTCAGGAGCCAATGGCTCACAGTGGCTGCTTACCTGGCTGCCCAATCGAGCAACATGGTGCGCCCCCTGTCACCCTGCCATCCCATCCCACGCGCGGATTTTGGGTTCCAACGGTGGCTGGTCTGCTGTGGGAGGCACCTTTGCTGCGCCGCTTGTTGGTGTTGTTGGAACTTCAGATGAAGGATTCAGGGGTACCGGAGCTGACATCGAATGCCTTTTCCTCAACTCCTCCCAACCCAGACAACAAACCCTCGAAAGCGAACAAGAAATTCTTGCCCTCAAACATTAAGACCTCATCCGAGCAAGCCGGTAAAGCCACCGAACTAAGACGGGCCCTGGCGCAAATCCGGGCTGGTTCCATGGCGATGTTACCCCCAAAACCACCCATGTTCAGGGCACCCCGGCAGCCCCAATGCAAGGTTTAATGAGGGGAACTTGGCCGCCACAAGCAACGGCTCGGGGCGCCTGATTTGATTGCTGGAATGCTTGACAAAAGGAAATCGCATTGAGAGCCGGCTGCTTGGGGTTGATTGCGCCGCTTCCTTATCTTGGAGTGCCATTTCCAGGCAGAAAGAAAGCATACAGAAAAGTAGTCGGGCTGTCTGCTCCATAGACCATGGCTGAGCTCAGCGACGCTGGCTCGGCATCTTAGCTTGATGTGGTGCCCCTGATTAGCATCGATAGTGTGACGTTCAGTCGTTTGCTTCTCCTTCTTCGCTGTTTCGGCCTCGCGAATCGATGGAATAGCTCCTGACGACCTTCATTTCTTGCGACGACATTTGTCATCTGTCGCGTCCGCTCATTTGTTTTCGGTTTCCCAGGCCCCAGCTCGGTCTGCAGCTTTCTTGTGCGACTTTCGGCCTTCGTTGCATTCTCTTGGCCGCGAGAAACCCCATTGCGACCGTAACCCCAAGAACTGACCGCCCATTCGTGCGTGATTCGAAATACGATCGAGCTGCCTGCACCTACCCGAAAGCCGCCCGTCCAAGCCAGTCCACGACGCCATGATCTCCCTCCAGAAGCAGTTCCGCCGCTCGCAGGACGACATGGCCGAGATGGATCCCGAGACAAATCAGCTCCTACCCGCGCAGAAGCGGCAGCAACATCGAGTCCGCGTCCAGGGCCGATTGGCCGTCGTCCGCAGCGTTTCCACCGTGAATCTGCGGCCCGCGGCGTCGGTGCTGCCATCCCCGGTCGCCGCGGGCGGGACGACACCCACAACCCCAAGATTCGAGTCAGGCGTGGCAGGGAGCACTGTGCCGCCCGCCAATGTGAGGAGGAGGAGAAGCTTGGATGACGCGAGCAGCGACACCGAGGAGGAGCACGATGTGAAGGAGACTGCGGTGAGGGATCGCCAGTTCAGGGGCTACGGAATCGGTGGCGCTGGAAACATCAGTGGGTTCAACTCTGACTCTGTGCGACATGTAAACACGATGCTGACGGGTATCTCGGTGCAGGACGACCGACCGAAGTCTACGGTGCGACGAAATCCACCTCATCACTATCGAAGCTTTCTACATTCTATTCCTCTGGGTCATCCGATGGCTCCGACAAGAAGTCGTGGAGTTTGCGGGAGATTTTTGGACGCTCAGGGGACCGAAAAGGAAAAGGGGTCGCATCGCAATGATACGGTACACATGGAGTCATCAACATCGCGCATTTGTTGATCGGGGGACGGCGACTGCAGCATCGGCATAACGGACATTTGGGACGGCTTGGGATTGTTCAACGATCAGGCGTTTGGGGGAATTGTATTGATCAGCGGCGGAGAAAGAAAAAACGGTCGGCGCGCCTTCGCGGCTCGGCAAAGACGCGAATGAAGGTTCCATGCAGCAGCACAAGACATTGCCAAGCACGTTCTACGACATCTGCACTCCAGATTGATAAGCATCAACATCGAATCGTCCGTTGTGTCTCAAAGTGCATCGTCCCGTGCCGCGCGGGATTTGGTGACATCCAATGCCAACAAGCCCGCGCGCGGCCCGGCGCAATTGCTGTCACTTAGAGCCCTGTCCTCCCGCATCGTGACCCCGCTGCCGCTCGGTGCTTCAACATGGGTCTCTGGCGATGATCCGGACTGCTTCAGGCTAAAGACATTTTTCTTCTTCGGCAGGCAACCTGACAGCAGCATGTGCTTGCGCTTAGCGATCTGAGCGGTACCTGGCAAACCCGGTCAGCTGCGGCTCTTTTTGTGCTTCGGACAGTCGGCGAGTCCCTTCGCCGTGTTCCAGAACGAAAGTCCCCAATGTCTAGATTATTGTCTAGAAGGGATATCATCTCACATTTCTACTCGCCAAGGCATGTCCACCCGGCCGTGTCAGCTTACATGCATGCGAAGACGTCTTCGGCCATGATGATTCTACCCTGCGAGCCAATCGATCTGTACACACGACAGGTTCTGCCACGACGCGCTCTCGCGAATTTCTGCACTTGTACGATTAGCCGTACATGGACAAATGCGCGACCACAGGATGGGCGCGGGATGTCTCTGATGCGAAGCTTGTCTAGGCGCAGCCCGCAAATCAGCACATCAATGCGTATGTGGTGGTCCTCAGGAAGAATTCTTGGTGGCATGTCCCAAGAGGTCAAGGCTGCCTCAACGTCCCGTCGGTATCAGTCCGACTTATCGGTAATGCCGATCTTTTCCCTGATTCTCGCTGTCTACGTTGCAACCAAGCAGATCATCCGTTGGACGGAACGCGAATGCCGTGAGGCTAAGGAAATCTTGCTGCCTTACATCATTGACGCGGTTGAGACTATTAGCCCGATTCGCAACCGCACTAAGTAAAGCAATTCGCCCATCTCAGAATCGCGCTTATGGCTGAGGCTAAAGCTGCAAGGACCCTGATCCTGCGGACCGTTTTCCCACTCCATTGCCATCATCAAACGCAGAGGCATCGACATTTGGCAGAGGGCCTTGAACATCCAAACCTACCACTGCGTCTCTCGCCCGCACATGATTAGATCTCCGAGGCCGAGCTTCGACGAATGGCATCACGGGAGGTCGAGAATGTGAGTTGTCTGGCAACCTCACAGGGCTTTGGAGGGCTGTCAAGCTTTAGAAAGAGCCCAAGCGATTGGACCTTTTGGTCTGCTTTGTGCCTTTTTTGGAACTCCCATTCACCAAGCTTGTAGCTATCCGCCAGACTAAAATCTGTCGTCAGACTTCAGCGACAACGCAACCATACACAGCCATGCGGTCTTTGACGCGTGTGGCTCCCCGGCTTAGCGGATGACATCTGGTCGAGTAGCGGGACGTTTGTTCTTCGCGTTGTCGCTTTGAGGCTCCACATCTACAGGTCACTCATGTGTCCAACCACTTATATACACCGTCGCAACCCTCCTCGAACGATATCTTGAAGCCCCGGTTTTCACCCCTCATCAGCATTAAGATCTCACTTCCAGTCTTTACAATTGAGCAATTTGAATCTACACCATCGAAGAAACAGGCCGAGCACCATGACGATATCCGGAGACTCACTCGTCGAGGCCGTCGAGGCCGTAGCCATTGACGGTGTCGGTGATGGCAACAAGAAGCGCCCCTACCTCCTCTTCGCCGCGGCTCCTGCCACTGGCCACACCTATCCTCTTCTCCAGATTGCCGCGGAGATGATCCAGAGGGGCTTCGAAGCCACCTTCATTGCCGGCGAAGAATTCAAGCCTCAGCTCAAGCGGATGGGCGCCGAGCACATTCCCATCCCACCCATGATCACCGAGGAGTTCAACGAAGTCAGGAATAAGGTTCCCGTTGGCATCCCCCGCCTCATCTTTGATCTCAAAGAGGTCTTCATCAGGCCTATTCCAGATCTGTTCAGAACCATCATGAACACGCTGGAGAAGATCCGTGAGAGACGTCCGTCTCAGCAGGTCATCATCGTCCACGAGACCTTCTTCATGGGTCTTGCTCCCATGATGTACGGCGCACCCCTTCCGAAGGGCTTCACTACGAGGCCACCGGTAGTCGACATCAACATCGTGCCAATCGTTGTGACAAGTCAGGACACTGCCCCGTTCGGCCCTGGCCTCCCTCCCGACTCGACATACTCTGGCCGCGCTCGAAACAAGCTTCTCAACGACATGTTCTTCAGCCCCTTTGGTCCCTTTGGCCAACCAGCTCAGGAGTACACCAAAGTGCTCAAGTCCCTGGGAGCAACCAAAGAACTTTCTCCCTCGCTCTTCGAGACATGGCAGACAAGCTATGACGTCACGCTCCAAATGTGCTCACCGAGCCTCGAATACCCTCGTTCAGACCACCCAGAGGTGATCAAGTTCGCCGGCTGCCTGCCTCCCAAGCCCATCGACCCCAACTACAAGTACCCCGAGTGGTGGAGCGATATCACAGCCGGCAACAAGAAGATTGTTGGCGTGGCTCAAGGTACCATCGCAACGAACTATACCGACCTCATCATCCCCACGATGCAGGGGCTGGCGCACCGCGACGATATCATCGTCGTCGCCATTCTCGGCGTCAAGGGTGCCTCGCTGCCGGAGGAACTGCAGATCCCCGCCAACACGAGGGTCGCCGACTTCCTCTCTTACGATGCACTGCTGCAATATGCCGACGTATGGGTGCTGAACGCCGGGTACGGTGGGTTCTTGCACGGCATCGTCAACGGCGTGCCGATGGTGCTTGGCGGCGACACCGAGGACAAGCCCGAGATTTCAATGCGCGGCGAGTGGACTGGTGTGGCGCACAACCTCAAGACTGGCAAGCCGACGCCCCAGCAGGTCGCCGAGGGTGTTGAGGATGTGCTGGCGAACGACAAGTACAAGAAGAGGGTGATGGAGATCAAAAAGGAGAACGAGGAGATGAAGTCGCTCGACGTGATCGAGAAGCACATTTGGGAGTATGCGGACTCTGTGTAGACGGCGGCGAAGACGAACCCACTGGGTTATGAGACATGAATAATACCAATATTTGTTTAAGCAATTCCACTCGATTGAAATTTGATTGATAATGTTACCGGAGAATAGCGACTGTCTTGCCGCCTGGTAATGTCTTGAGGAGGTGACAGAGCAATGCTTTACATGTGTCTAGGAGCCCTAATCTTTAGCGGCACGATCAGGTTCACAGCCAGCTTCAGGGGGCTTTAATGTCAGTCCTTCAGGGGGTTCAACCGTCAAATGACATGGATTGAATTGATTTACCGCTGTGAACATGCTTTAGCAGTGCTCATCACCTACATGGAGCCTTTTACGCCCTGTATGCTTGCTGCCCTGGTACGGTCGGTTCATCCAGGATCCGTCACTAGCAACTGCCATCCCATGTGCCACCCTTCTTCGCCTTTGTGATGCGAGTCAGGGCCGGCGACTTCAGCGTATGCTCCCCGCAGTACACTGAGCATCTAGGTCTTTTAGGCCGCCTCAAGCCCCCTCCACTTGTATTAATTAGTGACGAACTGTTTGTCGCCGATTTGCCAATCAAGCATTCAGCACATCACGTCTTTTCAGATGAACTTCATATGGCAGGTCACAAAATGAGACTCGAGTTATTGAACAAATGAAGGTGGTATTGATATTATGATTACATGATTAACAGTCTTGTGTCTGTAAAAGTAACGTCTTGCTTAATCGGCGCAAGAGAAGCCAGCGTAATTCTGAGCATAAAAACAGGGGGAGCATTGGGTGCTTTTCCTCCCCTCCAAACAATTTCATTTCCTCCAACACCATTGAACATAAGAAAAAATGCATAGAGAGAGGTAGTCAAGCCACCTTATTTGGTGACGACGTTAACGGTGGCGACGCCGAACAAGCTTAGGTTCAGGCAAGAAACGATGCCCTGTGAGCCCAGGCTGACGTTGAAGCAGTTCGGGTCGACTCTGTTCGCCAGCAAGCCGAGACTCGTGACACAGCTGAGGAGATCAGTGACTGATACCGCCGCGTTCACGTTGCTGGCAAGGCCGCTTGCTTGGGCGCCCACGCCGATGTTGAGACAGGTCTCGGGCAAGCTGGTGATACAGCTGCCTTGGATCTTTTGCAGGAAACACTGGCCGTATTGTTGCTGTGGACTGAGCAGATTGTTGACGGTCGTGACCAAGTTGCCGACCAGACAGCCAACTGTGCCCAAGGGGTCTGCAAGAGTCGTGCTGAGAACGCCTGGAATGGAGTTGACCACCAGGGCCGCCTGACAGAGGTTAACCTGTGCATCGAGACCGTTCGTCAAGTTGAACGACGCATCCAGAAGAGCTCCGCAAGCTGTGGGAACTTGTGGGCAAGCTGTTCCTGACGGGCAAAGTACCGCCGTGTTTGCTCTAGAGCTGTTGATGGGCAGGCCTGTGCCTTGTTCGATACAGTTGAGGACCGCCAGACCAGAAGTGGCTGCGTTGTTCGTGATGCAAGTTGCCAAGTTGACGGTGCTGCCGAAAAGTCCGGAGTACCCAAAGATTCCCAAGTTTGCGATACAGACGTTGGCTTGCGCTGTGATGGCAGCGACACCAGTGGCAGCCTCGATCTGAGTACACGAGAGCGGCAGACTTCTGACGCAGCCAATTGCACTGGCAAGACCGGTCCTGATACACTCGGCGTATGTGCCGAGGAGCCTGAGGCCGGATACGGTACAAGCCGCAACCTCAGGGATGGTGGCATAGTTGCCCAACGCGGCTTGACAAGCGGCGAGCTGCGACGTACTAGGAGTGGTGAGGACCCCGCCGAGGAGGGTTTGATCCAAGCTAGAACACTGAGTCGGGATGGGAACTGCGTTGACTTGTGCTTGGCCGATACAGCGTCCAGTAGGGCTTGCGACGGGCGTGGGGATACATCCCGATGGCGAGGACGTCTGCGTGACGACACGTGTGGCCGTGGGAATGCGAGTCTGCGCGAACACAGTGATGAGACTGCCTGTGCCGCTTATGGTGGAGTAGCGGGTTCCTGTGAAAGAACCGGCAACTCCAGTCGGGATGGTCGTGTAGACGGTCGAGATGGGAACGGCCGTGGCCGCGATGACGGTTCTAGTAAGTCCAGTGCCCGATTGGGTAATGAGAGAGGTGCCAGTGAAGGCGGCTCCAGTGACTCCAGATGGAATAGTAACATATGTTGTCGTGGGCAGGGCAGTCTCTGCGATGACTGTTCTGACAAGACCTGTTCCGGACTGAGTAACCAGTGAGGTACCGGTGAAGGTAGCGCCGGGTACTCCAGAGGGGATCGTCACGTAAGAAGTCTGAGCCAAGGCCGTCTGAGCGAGAACAGTGACGATGGTTCCGCTGCCAGTAAGGGTGAGGTATGAAGTTCCAGCAAAGACACCCTGCACACCGGTGAGGACGGTAGTTGTAGCCGTGGTAGGCAGAGCTGTCTGTGCCTGAACCGTGATGAGAGTAGCTCCCGCGGCGGCTGACTGAGTCACCAGCGAGGTGCCTTGGAAGTTTCCAGGAACACCAGTGGGAATGGTAGTGAAGCGGGTTGTCGGCAGAGCTGTCTGCGCGAGAACGGTGATGAGGGTAGCGCCAGCAGCTGCGGATTGCGTGACCAGAGACGTGCCTTGGAACGTGCCTGTCACACCTGTAGGGATGGTGATGTATCCCGTCGTCGGAATGGCCGTATGTGCTAGAACCGTGATGAGAGTAGCTCCCGCGGCAGCAGATTGAGTGACCAAAGATGTGCCGGCAAAGTTCCCAGTGACACCCGTGGGAATGGTGATATATCCTGTTGTACGAATAGCAGTCTGAGCCAGCACCGTTATCAACGTGGCACCTGCGGGAGCGGACTGGGTGACCAAGGAGGTGCCCGCGAAGTTGCCAGTGACGCCAGTCGGGATTGTCACATAACCTGTAGTAGGAATGGCAGTTTGAGCCAACACAGTGATGAGCGTTGCTCCTGCGGCGGCGGACTGCGTGATCAAAGATGTGCCTTGGAAGTTACCAGGTACACCAGTGGGAATCGTCACGTATCCCGTCGTGGGAATGGCGGTTTGGGCCAAGACAGTAATCAACGTGGCACCTGCCGCAGCCGACTGTGTGATCAAAGAAGTACCCTGGAAGTTACCAGGGATGCCAGTAGGAATGGTCACATATCCGGTGGTCGGAATAGCGGTTTGAGCCAAGACGGTGATGAGTGTGGCGCCAGGGGCGGCAGACTGAGTGATGAGCGAAGTTCCAGCAAAGTTACCAGGAACGCCGGTGGGAATCGTCACATAGCCAGTCGTTGGGATCGCGGTTTCAGCAATAACAGTTCGGATGAGACCAGTGCCCGGCAGAGTGATCAGAGAAGTGCCTTGGAAGTTACCAGCAACTCCTGAAACAATCGTTGTGTACGAGGTCGTTAGCAAGGCCGTCTCCGCAATGACGGTTCTGATGAGACCAGTTCCGTCCAAGGTGATGAGTGAGGTGCCCTGGAAGTTGCCAGGTACGCCCGAAGGGATCGTGATGTAAGATGTGGTTTGCAGCGCGGTTTGCAGAACCACGGTGCCAAGTGCCTGACCGGCGGTCGTGGGAAGTGTAACGGTTGAAGTGCCTGCAAAGTTGCCGATGACTCCGCTAAAGACTGTCGTGAACGAAATCGGGCGAATAGCGGTCTCCAAGAAAACGGTGACGAGGCTCTGGCCAGGTCCAGTTGTGGGAACCGTAGACGTCTGAGTGCCAGCGAAAGTGCCGAGAATACCTGTGATGATTGTCGTGTAAGAGACAATGACCTGGGCAGGGATGGCGGTCTCCAAGACGACGGTTCGGACGTTGGTGCCCGTGCCATCAAGAGTAAGAGTCCTTGTGCCGGTGAAGTCGCTCGTGATTCCGCTAGTAACTGTGGTGTATGAGAGCGGCAAGGCGGTTTGAAGAAGGACTGTGCCAAGCTGGCTTCCGACTGGAGGAATGGTGATTGCCTGGGTTCCAATGAAGGTTCCAGGAATTCCCGTGAGAACTGTCGTGTACGGGATGGCAGTCTGAAGCAGAACGGTTCCGAGGGTTCCCGTGGCCGAAAGCGTGACCGTCTGGGTTCCGGGGAACACAGTTCCGGCAAGGCCAGTCACGATCGTGGTGTACGATGTCGGGATCGGCAGAGCGGTCTGGATGAGCACAGTTGCGATGGATCCAGACCCTACGAGTGTAGAAGTCTGAGGTCCAGCAAAGGTGGCTCCCGGAATGCCTGTGAAGATGGTTGTATACGACGTCGGAATAGGAACCGAGGACTGAACCAAGACTGTTGCCAGGTTGCCGGTGGCAGAGAGAGTGATCGCCTGTGTTCCTGGGAAAGTGGCTCCAGGGACACCCGTAAAGATCGTGGTGTACGATGTAGGGAAGGGAAGGGCCGTCTCGAGGAGCACCGTGGCCAGGGTTCCGGACCCGATTGTCGTTGTCTGGGTGCCGAGGAAGGTAGCGCCAAGGATGCCCGTAGTCTGTGTGACATATGATGTCGGCAGAGGGAGAGCAGTTTCGAGCAAGACAGTTCCGAGAGTGCCAGAAAACGGCAAAGTTGTAGTTCTGGTTCCAACAAACGTGCCAGGGGCACCAGTGAGGAGTGTGGTGTATGAGGTAGGGAAGGGGAGGGCCGTTTGAAGCACCACGGTGGCAATAGTGTCAGATCCTGGGATCGTTGATACCTGAGTACCAGTGAAGGTGCCCGGAATGCCGGTTGTGACTGTAACGTATGACGTTGGGATGGGCAACGCCGTCTGCAAAAGAACGGTACCAAGGGTGCCGCTGACGGGCAAGGTCGTCGTCTGCGTACCCGCAAATGTCCCGATAATACCAGTGATGAGAGTGACATATGATGTAGACAAAGGCGGAATAGCCGTTTCCTCGAATACCGTACCCAGCGTTCCGCTGACCGGGCCCGTTGAAGTACGAGTGCCCACAAACGTATCAGTGACGCCGCGAGTAATCGTGGTGTAGCCAGTAACAATAGGCGGGATGGCGGTCTGGAGCAAAACGGTGCCCAAAGTGCCAGTAAGCGGCAAGGTGATTGTCTGGGTGCCGACGAACGTGCCGATGGTACCAGTCGGGATCGTGGTGTACGAAGTGACTGGTGGCAGAGGCAGCGCCGTCTGGATGAGTACGGTGCCGACCGTTCCTGAGCCTGCCAAGGTAGTTGTCTGAGCGCCGATAAATGTGCCCGGGATTCCGGTGATGAGCGTTGTGTACGACGTCGGCACTGGAAGAGCTGTCTCTAAGAGCACAGTTCCAAGCGTGCCGGTAACTGGAAGAGTCGTTGCTCGTGTGCCGGCAAAGGTGCCGATGACGCCGGTGAGGACCGTGGTATAAGACGTGACTGCGTTAGGGATGGCAGTTTCGGCCAAAACCGTACCAATAGTACCAGTCACTGGGAGAGTGGTGAGTTGGGTTCCGATGAAGGTAGCCCCAGGTACTCCGGTGGGAATCGTGACATACGAAATGTCAGCCGGGAGCGCGGTTTGAGCCAAGACAGTACCAATGGCACCAGTGAGGGGTAGGGTAGAGAACTGGGTGCCGACGAAGCTTGCGCCCGGCACGCCGGTTGGAACGGTGATGTATGAAATCACCGCGGGCAGTGCACTCTCAATGATAACGGTGCCAATTGTGCCAGTAACTGGAAGCGTGGTGGTGAGAGGACCAACGAAGGTAGCTCCTGGAATTCCGCTGAAGATCGTGGTGAACGAGGTCGTCGGAAGGGCAGGCAGCGCTGTTTGAGCCAATACCGTGCCGATCGTTCCAGTAGCGGGCAGAGTGGAGAGCTGCGTACCGATGAAAGTAGCTCCAGGAATACCAGTGAAGATGGTGGTGAGCGACGTTGTCGGAATGGCAGGGAGAGCAGTCTCTGCGAGAACGGTGCCAATGGAACCGGTGACAGGCAGAGTGCTGAACTGGGTGCCGATGAACGTGGCTCCTGGGACTCCAGTAAAGATCGTCGTGAACGAAGTCGCGGGGACGCTGGGAATGGCTGTCTCGAGAAGTACAGTTCCGAGAGTTCCAATGACGGGCAAAGTGTTCGTCCTGGTGCCGGAGAAAGTGGCGCCAGGGATGCCTGTGAGGATCGTGGTGAACGCAGTTGTGCCAGCGCTGGGGATGGCAGTCTGAAGGACGACAGTGACCAAGCCAGGATTGGTGACCGCGGCAGGAAGGGTCGTTGTCTGAGTTCCATCGAAAGTACCAAAGATACCCGTGATGATCGTGACATATGACGTGTTGATGACCGTGACAGACGGCAGAGCCGATGAAGTAGCCTCGGGTACAGCAGTCTCAAGAACAACCGTAATCAGACCATCTGTGCCAAGCGCTGGTAAAGTGCGAGTTTGCGTTCCGGCAAACGTGCCAGGGACGCCGCTGAAGATGGTCGTGAACGAAGCCAAAGGAACGGCTGTCTCCAGAAGGATTGTTCCCACGTTGCCAGTACCAGTGATAGGCAGGGTTCGAGTGCTTGTTCCAACGAAAGTGCCCGGAATGCCCGTGATCTGGGTCACGTAAGATACCACAGGAACGGCAGTCTGGAGCAGAACCGTAGCCAAGTTGCCAGTGCCAACGACAGGTAGAGTAGTCGTCTGGGTTCCGATGAAGGATCCAGGAATACCCGTAACCAGCGTGGTGAACTGAAGGCTCACAGTTGGGCTTGCAGTAGGGATAGCCGTCTGGAGGACGACCGTGCCAAGTCCGTCGATACCAGTGCCAGGAAGAGTGAGCGTCGAAGTTCCCACGAACGTGCCAGGGACGCCAGAGAAAATCGTGGTATAAGATTGGGCCAATGCCGTAGGCAAAGCAGTCTCCAAAACAACTGTACCAAGACCGTCTGCACCAGTTCCAGAGAGGGTGCGAGTTTGGGTTCCCAAGAATGTTCCTGGGATGCCAGAGAAGACCGTCGTGTACGAAGCCGCGAGCGCAGTAGGAAGTGCTGTCTGAATAACGACAGTGCCGAGACCGTTCGCGCCAGTGCCCGGGAGGGTAAGCGTTGAAGTGCCGACAAAGGTGCCCGGAACGCCGGAAAGGATGGTCGTGTAGGACTGAGCGAGTGCCGTCGGCAACGCCGTCTCCAACGCAACCGTTCCGAGGCCATCTGCGCCAGTACCAGACAGAGTACGAGTTTGAGTTCCAAGGAACGTACCCGGGATACCGGAGAAGATGGTTGTGAACGATTGAACAAAGACCGAGGGAATCGCAGTCTGTAACACGACGGTACCCAATCCATCAGTACCAGGAGCCAGAGTGAGAGCCTGTGTGCCGATAAACGTTCCAGGAATGCCAGAGAAGATAGTCGTGTAGGAGATCGGGCTTGTGATAGGCAGCGCAGTCTCCAAGAGAACAGTGCCGAGGCCATCAGCTCCGAAACCAGACAAGGTTCGGGTCTGGGTACCAGTAAAGGTCGCCGGGATTCCAGTGACGATTGTGACGTACGAAACCACATTCGATGTGATTGCAGGAATCGCCGTCTCCAAGAAGACGGTACCGGTTCGCTGGGTTCCAGTAGGCTGGGCCGTCGAAGCGCGGGTTCCAGGGAATGTGCCCAGGACGCCGGTGATGACGGTGACGTACGTAATATCAATACTTTGAGCGGTAGGCAGAGCAGTCTGGATCAGGACTGTGCCAACAGTGCCGCTGATGATCGGGAGCGTGGTCGTCTGGGTTCCGATGAAAGTGCCGGGGACGCCAGTGAGCAGCGTCGTGTACTGGATCGGGCTAGCGGTGGGAATGGCGGTCTCCAAAAGAACTGTTCCAATCGTGGCGCCAGAAATCAAGGGCAAAGTGTTGGTTTGAGTTCCGGCAAACGCTCCCGGCACACCAGTAAGAATCGTGGTATACTGCAATCCAGGAGGAGTTGACGTTGCAATCGGCAAAGCAGTTTGCAAGAGAACAGTACCAAGACCATCAGGGCCCGCAGGCAAGGTGGTTGCTAGAGTGCCAATGAACGTTCCCGGTACACCGGTCAGAATAGTCGTGTACGAAGCACCAGGGGCACTTGTAGCTGTAGGGAGAGCAGTTTGGAAGATAACTGTGGCGATGCCGTCGCTTCCCACGGGCAAGGTGGTTGCCAAAGTGCCGATGAATGTACCTGGCAAGCCCGAGAAGATCGTAGTGTATGAAATTCCTGGCGACGAGACTGTGGGCGTGGGGATGGCAGTCTGGAAGATGACAGTTGCGATGCCGTCCGTGCCGGCAGGGAGTGTTGTGGCCACGGTGCCCGCGAAGGTACCGGGCACACCCGAGAACAGAGTCGTGTAGGAAACAGTCGCGATAGTGGGCAAGGCAGTCTGAAGCAACACAGTAGCAATGCCGTCAGTGCCGGCGGGCAGAGTAGTTGCTTGAGTGCCGATGAAGGTGCCCGGAATACCTGTAAGCAGTGTCGTGTACGAGACTGGCGAAGCAGTAGGCAGAGCGGTTTGCAACAAGACGGTCGCGATGCCGTCGGTGCCGACCGGCAAGGTGGTGACCTGAGTGCCGGTAAATGTTCCCGGGAGTCCTGTGAGAATCGTAGTGAAGCGAATGCTCTCAGACGGGATTGCAATAGCAATGATGACAGTTGCGACACCATCAGGTCCGGCAGGGAGTGTGGATGTTTGAGGTCCAACAAACGTGCCAATGATGCCTGAGAAGATGGTCGTGTACGTGACAGTGACACTCGGGGCAGCGGTTGGCAAGGCACCCTCAACAAGGACAGTCTCGATACCATCGAGACCGACTGGCAGCGTTGTGGTGCGGACCCCAGAGAAGGTTCCGGGAACGGCAGTAAAGATCGTGGTAATCGCGCCAGCGGCAGCCGTAGGCAGGGCGGTCTGGATGAGTACCGTCTCAATGCCGTCAAGACCGGCGGGCAGAGTTGTTGTCAAAGAGCCCAAGAATGTTCCCGGAATACCAGTAAAGATGGTAGTAACTGCGGTCGGGATTGCCGTGGGCAGAGCAGTCTGGATAAGCACCGTCTCGATACCATTTGGACCGACCGGAAGAGTTGTTGTGACGGGTCCAACAAAAGTGCCTGGGATTCCAGTAAACACGGTGGTAAGGCCAGTAGCGGTCGGAATAGCACTCAAAGCAGTTTGGATGAGAACAGTCTCAATGCCGTCAAGACCAACCGGGAGCGTGGTCGTGAGAGGATCCAAGAACGTGCCAGGAATACCCGTAAAGATCGTCGTAAAACCAGTGGCTGTCGGGATAGCGCTAAGAGCAGTCTGAATGAGAACTGTCTCGATTCCATCAGGGCCAGCGGGCAAGGTTGTTGTCACAGGACCGACGAAAGTGCCAGGGATACCAGTGAAGATCGTCGTCAGGCCAGTTGCGCTTGGGATAGCAGTCAACGCAGTCTGGATCAGAACAGTTTCGATACCATCTGGGCCGGCGGGTAGAGTGGTTGTCAGGGATCCTATGAAGGTTCCTGGGATACCCGTAAATACCGTCGTGACTGCGGTCGGACTGGCGGTCGGAGTAGCTGTAGGGCCTCCCGATGGAAGAGCTGTTTGGATGAGAACGGTCTCGATACCATCAAGTCCAGCAGGCAAAGTGGTTGTCACAGAACCCAAGAAGGTGCCAGGAACACCCGTGAAGATTGTCGTGGCAGCGGTCGCGCTCGGGACGATTCCTGATGACGCAGTCTGGATGAGAACGGTTTCAATACCATCAGGGCCGGCGGGAAGCGTCGTCGTCAGGGAACCCAAGAATGTTCCGGGAATACCAGTGAAAACGGTCGTGATGGCGGTAGCGGTTGGCGTAATGCCAGGCAAAGCAGTTTGGATCAGCACTGTTTCAATACCATCAAGGCCGGCCGGGAGCGTCGTTGTCAAGCTTCCCACGAAGGTTCCCGAAATGCCGGTGAAGATCGTGGTAAGCCCAGTGGCGGTAGGAGTGACACCAGGAAGAGCAGTCTGAATAAGTACCGTTTCGATACCATCAGGTCCAGCGGGCAGTGTCGTGGTAATAGGACTCACGAAAGTTCCCGGAATGCCAGTGAAAATCGTAGTGAGACCAGTGGCGGTAGGAGTGACATCGGGAAGAGCAGTCTGAATGAGTACTGTTTCGATGCCGTCGGGACCAGCAGGCAGTGTTGTGGTGACAGGGCCCACGAAAGTTCCGGAGATTCCGGTGAAAATCGTCGTAACTGCACCAGGGGTTGCCGTCGGTGTCGCAGATACGTCCTCGGTGAAGGGGACGTACACAACGACCGTGTCCGGAAGAGTTGGGTCTCCTTGGATGCTGACGCCAATGGTGGTGCTGAAGCGAATCCTGCCAGTGTAAAGAGAAGTTATCGTAACCTGGCCGCGGGTGAGAGTCGGTGTCGTCAACGGCACCGTGGCAGAAGGTACAAGGCCGGAAGGCACAAGGACGATAACGGTGCCGGTTTCACCAGCCGCAGTGGGGAAGACAGTCGACAACGCGGGAGCGGTGCCATCATACGTCGATGTAATCGTGTCGAAGAAGACGCCAGGAGACTGGATGATGACGGTGCCTGAAAGGCCGCTCGCCGCAGGCGGGATCGTAAGAGTGGTTGGGATAGGACCGGCGGAGAAGATAGTCGTGTATGACAGCGCGGGGTCGATTGGCAAGCCCGAGGTGGCGGACGGAACCACCACCACAGTACCAGGAAGACCACTTGACAGGGGCGGCAGAGTGAACGTCGTGGGAATGGGACCGGCAGAAAAGACGGTTGTGTACGACAATGCCGGGTCGATAGGCAGATCGGACGAAGCGGTCGGGACCACAACGACGGTTCCTGGAAGACCACTTGCTGCTGGAGGAAGGGTGTAAGTCGTCGGGATTGGACCCGCAGAGAAAACCGTCGTAAGTGAGAGGGCAGGGTCGATCGACAGATCGGATGAAGCTGTAGGAACAATGACAACTGTACCAAGAGAGCCGCTGACAGCCGGAGTGATTGTGAAAGTCGTCGGAACAGGACCCGCAGAGAACACAGTGGTGAATTGCAGGGCGGGGTCAACGAGCAAGTCTGACGAGGTTGCTGATGGAACAACAACCACCGTGCCAGGAAGACCACTGACTGCCGGAGGCAGTGTGTAGGTGGTAGGAACGGGACCAGTGGAGAATATGGTGGTGTACTCGAGAGCCGGGTCGACGAGCAGGTCCGAAGAAGTCGTCGAGGGGACGACCACGACTGTGCCTGGCAACCCACTGGATGCTGGAGCAAGAGTGAAGGTCGTCGGGATGGGGCCAGCAGAGAACACAGTGGTGTATTCGAGAGCAGGGTCGACAAGCAAGTCCGAAGAGGTTGCTGAAGGAACGATCACAACCGTGCCTGGCAGTCCGCTGACTGCAGGGGGGAGGGTGAAGGTTGTCGGGATAGGACCAGCAGAGAACACAGTAGTGAGTGAAAGTGCCGGATCAATGGAAAGGTCAGAAGATGCTGTCGGGACCACGATAATGGTGCCGAGGTCTCCGGAAATAGCTGGCAAAATTGTAAGAGTCGTAGGGACTGGGCCCGCCGAGAAGACTGTGGTGAATGACAGAGCCGGGTCGACAGCCAGGTCCGAGGATGTGGTCGGAACGATCACAACAGTACCAGTTTCGCCCAGAGAAGCCGGGAGAAGGGTGAAAGTAGTCGGGATGGGGCCAGCTGAGGTGACCGTGATGAAAGCACCAGGACTGGCACCCAAAGTGGGAGTCTCGACGATAACGGTTGCCAAATCACCAAGAACGGATGGCAGGATGGTTCTTGTAGCCAAAGCCGGGCCTCCCGTGGTAATAGTGGTGTATGAAACCCCAGGGATGCTTGTAGCCGTGGCCTCGGAGACAATGACCGAGACCACTCCATCGGGACCGGTGACGATGTTGGTGGCGGGGAGGACTCCAGTGCCTGGGATGGTGGTGAAGATGGTGGTGGCTGCGGTTGGCGTGATTATAGGTTCACCAGAGGTGTCAGGGTCGAGGAAGATGACGGAGACGATGCCATCAGCGCCGGTGACCGTGGTGGTCGCGGGCAAGAGACCAGTGCCAGGTGCCGTGGTAAATACGGTAGTCGGTGCGCCTGGTGCAGCCGTTGTGGATGTTTGGAAGATGACCGAAACGATGCCATCTGCGCCCGTAACAGTCGTGGCCTCGGGAAGCAGACCGGTACCAGGAAAGGTGGTAAAGATGGTCGTTGGAAGACCTCCTGAAGTGACTGTGGGTGCCTCGAAAATGACTGAGACCACTCCATCGGTTCCGGTGACTGTGAGTGTTGCAGGGAGAGCACCAGTTCCAGGGATCGTGGTAAAGACCGTGGGCAGCTCGCCCGAGGTCGTGGGAGTCTGGAAGATGACAGAGACAACGCCATCGGCACCAGTGACTGTAGTTGCTGTAGTAAGCAATCCAGTCCCGGGTACCGTGGTGAAGACGGTAGTGGGAATTGCGGTCGCCGAGGCAGTGGGAGTCTCGAAAATGACAGACACGATTCCGTCTGCACCAGTAACGGTGGTGGCCGTCGGAAGAAGGCCAGTTCCCGGAATGGTGGTGAAGACGGTGCCTCCAGAAGCCACGCCAATCGTAGGAGTCTCGACAATCACAGACACGATACCATCAGTGCCGGTTACCGTGGTGGTAGTCGGAATAAGACCAGTGCCAGGAGCGGTAGTGAAGATGGTGCCTCCAATTGAGCTGACTTCGGCAGTCGGCGTCTGGATGATGACAAGACCAATGTCATCAAGACCAGTAGGCACGATCGTGGTGGTAGACGGAATAAGACCGGAGTATCCACTTGTGATGGTAGAGAAGGCCCCCGGAACATCGATGATGACTGTGGGAACACCAGTGCCAATTGGCGATACCGTGGTCGTTCCTGCAGAAGTTGCTCCAAAGCGCGTTGAGGTGATCTCGAAGAGCGCCTCTGGAACTTGAACAAGCACGGTAGTTGGGTCGCCAATGTTGATCGGAGTCTGAGTCTGGATCAAAGTGACCGAGCCCGTATAAGGAGTGGTGACGGTGGTGATCGCGCCAATCGTAGGCGTTGACAGCGCTGTGGGAGTCGAGAGAGCTGGGACCTGTATCATAACGGTCTGGATGCCGTCGAGACCGATGGACATTGTTGACGTACGCACAGATGACAGGCCTGGGATCGAGGTTGTGACCAAGAAGAGTCGCCGAGGAACCGCGACGAGCACCGTGACTGGGTCACTAAGACGAGAGGGCGACAACGTCATTGTGATGAAAGCAGAACCAGTCATGCTCGGGTCGAACGATGTGACTGTGACAGTTCCGCCTGAGCCGGTAAGTGAAGGCGTGGTGATTGTCGGCGCCGTGATGGGCCCTGCCGCAGTCGGGATCTGGGCGAGGACGGTGCCAGGAAGGCCAGAAGCTGCGGGTGCAACAGTCTGGAACAAAGTGATAGAACCATCGTAGCCAGTGGTAACCGTGATGTACGAGATGATGTTCTCGGTAACCGAAGTCGGCAGATTGGCCGCGGTGCTGGGTACCAGAACGACAGCAGTGGCGAGACCATCGATGCCGGTGACGGATCCGAGCTGGGTCTGGACGATTGAGCCATCGTAACCACTTGTGACGGTGGTGTATGATAAGCCAGGGACACTGGTAGTAGCCGAAGGATCGACGGTAATCGTGGGAGTAGCACCTGGTCCGAGGGAAGGCAAGCCAAGAGATATCGAGACGTCGATGCTGATTCTAGGAACTTGCACAAGAACCGTTGCGAGACTATCAAGACCAAGGATTGAGCCGATGAGCGTCTGGAGGAACGAGCCATCGTAAGTCTCGGTGACAGTGGTGTACGAGATGCCGGGCACGCTAGTTCCTGACGTCGCCGGTGCGACTGTGATAGATCCAGTAGGAACCTGCACAATGACGGTAGCAAGACCGTCTGCACCCGTGGCTGATCCAATAAGGGTTTGCAGGACCGAGCCGTCATATCCGCTCGTGATGGTGGTGTAGTCAAGACTAGGCAGAGCAGTGATCGTGGGAGTCTGGACGACGACAGTGACGAGACCATCAGGGCCAGTAACTGAGTCAGTTTGGGTAGCGATGACCGAGCCTGGGTATCCAGTTGTGATCGTAACGAATAAAGCAGGGTCGTCAGATTCAGTAGCGCTTGCGCTGTTGGACGGGAGAACTGTAAGTGTTCCAGTTGGCTGCAAAACGATAACAGTAGCGAGACCATCTGCGCCGGTGGTGATGCCAGTCTGCGTAAGCAGTAGAGAACCGTCATATCCACTGGTAAGAGTAGTGTACTGAATCGCACCAGAGAGAACATCGGACGGCACCTGGACGACAACAGTACCCAACTCAGAAATACCTGTACCAGCCGGAGCGAGAGTGGTGGTCAAGGTGACCGAGCCGGGATAAGCGCTTGTGAGAGTCGTGTACAGAGCGCCAAGAGGGTCCGTAGAGGTAGGAACCTGGACAACGACTGTCTGGACCGGAACGCCGCCGACTGTACCAATGGGAAGGCTCGTCGTCTGGGTAAGAAGTCCGTCGTAACCACTGGTGATAGTGGTGGACTGGATTCCGTCGGAGACTGTGGCAGTAGGGACCTGCACAACCACGGTCTGGATGGGAAGACCTCCAACAGTAGCAACAGGCAAGGTGGTTGTCTGCGTAACTGAGCCATCGTAGCCACTTGTAAGAGTGGTAAGGAAAACACCAGGCAGAGCTGTCTGAGTCGGTACTTGAACAATAACAGACCGGATTGTCGATCCATCAATGGTAACCGCAGGCAATGTTGTTGTCAAGGTCACAGAACCGTCATAGCCATTTGTCAAAGTGACGAGGAGATCATCAAGATCAATCGAGTCGGTCGGCACAAGGGTAGGAACCTGCGCGATCACAGTTTGAATCGTCGAACCATCAATAGTTGCAACGGGCAGAGTGGTGAGTTGAGTAATTGAGCCATCGTAGCCACTTGTGACGGTGGTAAGGAAGACTCCGGGATCGACAGTAGCGCTGGGGACTTGTACGACGACTGTTCCGAGATCTCCAGGATTCGCGGGCGCCAAGGTGGTGGTCTGAGGGACCAAACCAGTGTAGCCGCTGGTGATGGTAGTATAAGAAGCAGCCAAAGGGTCGGAAGTAGCACTCGCGGGGATTTGAACGATGACAGTTCCAAGGCCAGATGGGTCGGTAACGTCTGGTGGCAAGGTCGTGGTGAGCGGAATGGAGCCGTCGTACGTGCTGAAGATTGTGGTGAAAGACGCAGGCAAAAAACCGTCTCTTGATGTTGGCAGGGCATCCCCCGTAGACGTGGCGAGGATATCCGGAAGCTGGACAATGACAGTGCCGAGACCAGATGGGTCGGTTGCAGCAGGCGGCAAAGTAGTTGTCAAGGTAACTGAGCCAGGGTACGTGCTGAAAATGGTTGTGAACGAAGCGGCAAGAGGATCAGTCGCGGAAGACGCCAAGTCGCCTGGAACCTGTACGATGACTGTTCGGATGCCACTTGGGTCCGCAACGTCAGGCAGGGCCGTAGAAGTGAGAGTCACGGAGCCAGCGTATGTCGACGTCACGGTGGTGAAAAGATCGCCCAAAATGTCTGTCGATGTGGCTAGATCGCCAGGAACTTGCACAATGACGGTCCTGATGCCGGTCGGGTCTGCAATGTCTGGAAGAGCTGTTGATGTAAGGGTAACGGATCCAGCGTACGTGGATGTAATCGTGGTGAAGATGTTGCCCAAAGCATCAGTGCTTGTTGCCGCTTGATCAGGAACTTGGACGATGACTGTTCTAATGCCAGTGGGGTCTGCAGGATCAGGGAGTGCTGTGGATGTAAGAGTAACCGAACCGGCGTACGTCGATGTTACTGTCGTGAACAACTCACCCAAGCCGCCAGTGCTCAATGGAAGCTGGGTAGGCACCTGCACAATAACCGTGCCGAGACCGGCAAGGTCAGTCGCATCAGGCAGCAGAGTTGTGGTCAAGGTGACCGAACCGTCGTAGCCGCTGGTGACAGTAGTAAAGGCATTGGCCAGCGCGCTTGGAACTTGGACAATGACAGTGCCAATTTCACCGAGGCCAGTTCCTGTAGGCAAGGCCGTCGTGGTCTGAATGATGCTGCCATCGTATGTGGTGGTGATGGTAGTAAAGACGGCTGTGACGGACAGGACAGGGGTGCTGATGAGGGAAGCAGGCTGAAGGATGATGACAGTGCCGATATCGCCAGGACTGGCCGGAGCAATCGTCGACGTGGCCACAGCAGACCCATCATAAGTGCTGATGATTGTTGTGAAATCAGCCGTTGGAGTGGCGATGGGCTCGTAGAAGATGATGGTGCCAACAGCGTCGGTGCCAGAAGGTGCCAAAGTCGAAACAAGGGGCTCCAAGCCACTGTAAGTGATGGTGAGAGTGACATAGGAAGAGACTCTGGGGATGGAGACGCTTGCGCTTGGTACGAGAACCACAACAGTTCCAATAGTGTCAGTTCCTGCAGGTGCCAAGGTAGAGGTTGTGAGAGACGATCCATCGTACGTGCTGATGACCGTGGTGTAGGATGGGAGGTCCGAGGTTGTACCAAGGAGATCCGGGTCGAAAATGACGACAATGCCGGGATCGCCAGTGACAGTCGGCAAGATTGTTGAGGTCGACGTAACGGATCCAACACCAGGGCTAGTGATGGTTGTGAATGCAAGCGGTTGAGTGGCCGTCGGCTCAAGAATGATAACCGTCCCGTCGGTGTCGGTTCCGGTAGGGAAGATGGTGGTGGCAGACGGTACCAGACCGGTGTATCCGCTGGTGATAGTGGCAAAGCTGAAGGTGGGAGTGCTTCCGTCCGTGGCAGTGGGCACCAAAATGATGACTTGGCCAAGTGTCTCGGTGCCAGTAGGCAGGATGGTTGTCGCAGATGGCACGAGACCGGAGTAGCCACTCGTAAGCGTGACGAACAGAGCCGGGTCACCACCGGCTCCTGATGAGGCTGGCTCGAGAATTATAATGGTACCTTCATCGTTGTCACCGCTCGGGAAAACCGTGGTGGCGGAGGGAAGAGCACCAGTGTATGCGCTTGTGATGGTCGCGAACGAGATGCTTCTGGTGGGAGCAGAAGGGACGCCAGTAATGCCGGGAACGAAGATGACAGTCGCACCAGGTTCACCAGAAGGACCCCCTGGGAGCGTGGAGGTGAAGGTAATCGAGCCATCGTACGTGCTTGTGGGCAAGTTTGGCAGGGCGTCGGTGATGTCCGGAACATAGACGACAGTAGACGGAGCCTCGCCATTCGGGCCAGCAGGGAATGTGCTGGTGAGAGTAACCGATCCGCCGTACGTGGTGGTAAGGATATCTCCGAGGGCCGCAGTAGCACTTGGAACCAACACGATGACTGCAGAAGAGCCAGGCGGCCCAAACGGAACGGTCGTTGTCAGAGTCACAGAGCCAGGGTATGTGCTTGTCAAGACATCCAGTGCGGGAGCAGTTGGGCTGGGTACAAGAATGACAGTCGCGCCAGGCAAGCCATCGGTACCAACGGGAAGTGTGGTTGTTGAGATGATCGATCCGTCGTAAGTGCTGGTAAGAAGTCCACCACCTGGAAGGCCAGTGGCAGTCGGCACGAGAACGACGGTCTGCACAGGATCGCCCGAGGCATCCAAGATGGTTGAGGTCAACGTCACAGAACCATCGTAGCCGCTTGTCAACACTCCAGGATCAGGGAGAGCGGAAGGCCCCGGCACGAAGATTGCCGTTTGAATGGGGTTTCCAGAGGCATCCAAGATCGTTGATGTCAATGTGACAGAGCCATCGTACGTGCTGGTAGGAAGCCCGTTGTTTGCCAAGCTCGTTAGGCCTGGTACAAATACTGCGGTCTCAACAGGGTTGCCTGAAGCATCCAGAATAGTTGAGGTCAGTGTGATGGAGCCATCATATGTACTCGTTGGTAGACCGGTGGCCAGCAAGCTAGACACGCCAGGCACAAAGATAGCCGTCTGGATAGGATTTCCAGACGCATCCAGGATGGTTGAAGTCAGAGTGACAGAGCCATCATAGGTGCTGGTGGGAAGATCCAGGCTGGGCACTGCAGTCGATCCGGGAACGAAAATTGCCGTCAAGACGGGGTTACCAGAAGGATCCAGGATAGTGGAAGTCAAAGTAACAGATCCATCGTAGGTGCTAGTGGGAGGCACGTTGGGCAAGCCAGTGACTGTCGGGATAAAAACCGCGGTCTGAATCGGGTTCCCAGATGCGTCCAAGATGGTAGAAGTAAGAGTAACAGATCCATCATAGAAGCTTGTTGGGAGCACGTCGGGCAGGCCCGTGATCGTCGGAACAAATACGGCAGTCTGGATTGGGTTTCCGGACGCGTCCAAGATAGTAGACGTCAACGTCACCGATCCATCGTAAAGGCTGGTCGGCAATGCGCCAGGTGCACTAGGCAATCCGGTGATGCTTGGAACAAAGACAGCCGTTTGAATCGGGTTACCCGACGCGTCAAGAATGGTCGATGTAAGCGTGATAGATCCATCGTAAAGACTCGTAGGCAGGACACCAGGTAGGCCAGTGACACTTGGCACGAACACAGCCGTTTGAATAGGGTTTCCGGAAGCATCAAGAATGGTTGATGTAAGTGTAACGGACCCGTCATATAGACTTGTTGGCAAAACATTGGGTAGACCAGTGATGCTTGGTACAAATACAGCCGTTTCAACTGGGTTACCAGAAGCATCGAGGATAGTTGACGTGACGGTGATCGACCCGTCATAAAGACTGGTTGGGAGGATATTAGGAAGGCCAGTAACGCTCGGCACACCGCTCGGCACGAAGATCGCGGTTTGGACAGGGTTACCCGAGGCATCGAGTATAGTTGATGTGACCGTGATTGACCCGCCATAAAGGCTCGTGGGCAAAGCGGCAGGAAGGCCGGTAATGCTTGGCACAAACACTGCAGTTTGAACAGGGTTGCCGGACGCATCAAGGATTGTCGAAGTAACAGTAATAGACCCGTCATAGAGACTTGTCGGCAATTGAGGCAGACCAGTGACGCTGGGAACAAAGACGGTCGTCTCAACTGGGTTTCCGGAGGCGTCCAAGATGGTTGATGTCAATGTGATCGAGCCATCGTAAAGGCTGGTCGGCAGTTGAGGAACACCCGTGATGCTTGGGACGAACACAGCGGTCTCGACGGGGTTTCCGGAAGGATCCAGAATTGTCGACGTTAAGGTTACAGATCCATCATAGAAGCTTGTTGGCAATGCGGGCAAGGCAGTTGAGCCTGGGACGAAGATTGCAGTAAGAACAGGGTTGCCAGACGGGTCCAGGATTGTCGAGGTTACGGTGACAGAGCCGTCATAAGTGCTTGTGGGCAAAGCAGAAACACCAGTGGGCAAACCGATTGAGCTTGGGACGAGAATCAAGGTCTCGATGGGGTCACCTGCGCTGTTGAGAATCGTCGAGGTGATCTCAACTGAGCCGTCGTAAGTGCTCGTAAGGATATTAGGGAGCGCCGGGGTCGCCGTAATGCCGGGAACAAGAACAATCGTGGCACCAGGAAGGCCGTCAGTTCCAGCCGGCAGTGTCGTGGTTGAAATAACTGAGCCGTCGTAAGTGCTTGTGAAAAGACCGCCAGCTGACACAACGGTTGTTGGGCGAGGGATGAAGATGATCGTCGCTCCAGGGTCGCCAGCAGTTCCTGCAGGTAGGATGGAAGTGAAAGTACTCTGTCCATCGTAAAGACTGGTGAAAACATTCGGGAGTGCTGGGGCCCCCGTGATGCTGGGGACCAGAACAACGGTGGCACCAGGAAGACCATCGGTTCCAACCGGGAGTGTAGTTGTCGAGATGACTGAGCCTCCGTAAGTGCTTGTGAGCAAGCCGCCAGCCGGCAAAGTTGGATCGACACTCGGCACGAGAATGACTGTCTGATCTGGGAGGCCTGAAGCACCTGGGATGACAGAGGTAAGGGTGACAGAGCCGTCGTAGGTGCTGGTGATAAGACCACCCAGCGTAGGGGTCGCGCTCGGCACCAGGATGATCGTTTCGTCAGGCAGACCGGTGACTCCAGGGATGACAGAAGTGAGCGTGATAGAGCCGTCGTAAGTGCTGGTAAGAAGACCACCAGCTGGCAGACTCGGCACAGCACTAGGGACGAGGACGATCGTCTCATCAGGCAACCCAGTGACACCAGGAATGACGGATGTGACAGTGATAGATCCATCATAAGTGCTTGTGAGAATGTTTGGCAACGCCAGCGAATCTGTCACATCAGGAACCAGCACAATGGTCTCATCTGGCGCGCCCGAGACTCCTGGAATGACGGATGTGAGAGTGACAGAACCGCCATAAGTACTGGTGAGGAGATTGGGCAGTGATGGAGCAGCGGTAATGCCAGGGACGAACACAATGGTGTCGTCCGGCAGGCCCGAAACACCCGGAACCGTGGACGTGAATGTAATGGAGCCGTCATAGGTGCTTGTAAAGAGATTGGGCAAAGCCGGCGCGCCAGTGACACTGGGGATGAGGACAAGAGTTTGGTCTGGCAAGCCAGAAACCCCTGGGATCGTCGTTGTGAGTGTGACCGATCCGTCGTACAGGCTGGTCGCCAATCCGCCGACTGCACTCGTGGGGAGGGCAGGGTCGGTGATTGAAGGCACCAGCACAACAGTCTGGTCTGGCAGGCCAGAGACTCCGGGGATAGTAGTCGTAAGGGTAATCGACCCATCGTACAGGCTAGTGACTAGTCCGCCGATGGCACTTGTCGGGACAGCTGGAGCTGTAATCGAAGGCACCAAGACGACGGTTTGATCTGGCAAGCCAGATACGCCAGGAAGAGTAGTCATAAGCGTAATCGACCCATCGTACAAGCTGGTGAGCACTGCTCCGAGCGCAGGGTCCGTAATCGAAGGTACAAGCACAAGAGTCTCATCTGGGAATCCAGAAGCGCCCGGAATGGTGGTAGTCAAAGTGATTGACCCATCATAGAAACTTGTGACTAAGCCTCCAGCAACACTGGTAGGGACGGCTGGAGCCGTAAGAGACGGTAGGAAGATGATCGTATCGTCTGGTAGACCAGAGACACCAGGGATTGTTGAGGTGAAGGTGATTGAGCCGTCGTAGAGGCTCGTGACCAAGCCTCCAACACCTCCAGCCGCGCTGGTAGGGTCCACGGGGCTAGTGACGGTCGGAAGGAACACGACAGTCTCATCGGGCAAACCAGATACGCCAGGGATGGTAGATGTGAAGGTAATCAAGCCATCATAGAGACTTGTCACTAAGCCGCCAGGCGTAACCGAGGGCACTGCTGGAGCCGCAATGCTAGGAACAAAGATAATGGTCGCTCCAGGCAGTCCAGAAACTTCGGGTAGAGTCGAAGTGAAAGTAATGGAGCCGCCGTACGTGCTTGTGTATAAGCCCGCCTCGAGAGCGGTAGGCGCAGATGTGGGAAGACCCCCCAAGTCAGAGCTAGGAAGAGCTCCAGCACTTGGGACGTAAACAATGGTACCATCAGGCAGACCGGATGCGCCCGGAATTGTGGACGTAAAGGTGACGGAGCCATCATAGAAACTGGTGATTGGACCTGTTGGGGCTGCTGTTGGCTGGCCTGTGATAGTAGGGACGAAGACGATAGTCTCATCTGGCTGACCAGAGACACCAGGAATCGTTGATGTCAAAGTGACAGAACCATCGTAGAAGCTCGGCACCAAGCCCTGGCCCAAGGCTGTTGGAAGCGATGTAGGGAGACCTGGGGCACTTGGAATGAAAACGACGGTTTCATCGGGCAGACCCGACACACCAGGGAGGGTTGACGTGAAAGTGATGGACCCATCGTACAAGCTTGTAATGATTCCCGGGGCTGAGGCGGTTGGCGCTGCAGTGGGGAGCCCTGGTACGCTTGGGATGTAGACGATTGTTTCGTCGGGCAGGCCAGAAACGCCAGGAAGAGTTGAGGTGAAAGTAATGGAACCATCGTACAAGCTGGTCACGAGCCCTTGGCCCAAAGCCGTAGGTGTCGCTGTGGGGACACCTGGAAGGCTAGGAACGAAGATGATGGTCGCGCCAGGTAATCCAATAGTATAGGGAGGAATCGTCAAAGCGAACGTGATTGATCCATCGTAAGTGCTTGTGTATACTCCAGGGGCCAGAGTCGTGCCCGGTAGAGATGGCTGGGGCGTAACGCCAGGAACAAGAACAAGGGTCTGATCAGGCAATCCCGACACACCAGGGATCGTGGTGGTAAGGGTAATCGAACCATCATAGAGACTGGTGGCCAGCGCAGGCAAGCCTCCGGCGCCGCCAGTAGCAGCTGGGTCAGCCGTGATGCTTGGCACCAAGACAAGAGTCTCGTCAGGAAGACCAGACGCGCCAGGGATTGTGGTCGTGAGGGTGACCGAACCGTCGTAAAAGCTGGTAGACAAGCCCGGGATGTCTATCGTTGGTGTAACACTCGGAATGAGGACGACTGTCTCTGGAAGACCGGAGACTCCAGGTATCGTGGTAGTCAGCGTGACTGAGCCATCATAGAAACTAGTAATGAGAGCAGGCAATTCGCTGGCTCCGTTGTCAGGGAGATTGGCAGTCGGCGTGACACTCGGAATGAGGACAAGAGTCTCGTCAGGAAGACCCGTCACTCCAGGGATGATAGTGGTGAGAGTAACCGAGCCATCGTAGAAACTGGTCACCAAGCCCGGAACTCCACCAGCTCCGCCACCCGGAAGGCTCACCGTCGGCGTGATACTGGGAATGAGAACCAGGGTCTCGTCAGGAGCTCCTGAAACCCCGGGAATGGTAGTCGTGAGCGTGATGGAACCATCGTAAAGGCTGGTAATAAGTCCTGGCGGACCACCAGCACCACCGCCCGGCAAGGTCGCCGTGGGTGTAATGCTGGGAACAAGTACCAGAGTCTGGTCTGGTAGACCTGATACTCCCGGAATAGTTGTAGTCAGAGTCACCGAACCATCGTAAAGGCTTGTAGAGAGTGCGGGAAGTCCAGCACCGCCACCAGAACCACCGCTGGTGGCCTCCGGGACGCTGACTGTGGGGGTCGCGCTCGGAATAAGCACAATGACGGTAGCCGGGTCATTGACGTTGGCGGGGAGAACAGTCGTCGTCGCAGGTACCAAGCCGGTGTAAGTCGAAAGCACAGTTGTAAAGGCACCTGTGTCTGAAACCACGCTCGTCGGGATGTAGACAATGACAGTGCCTGGGTCGCCAGGGTTGGCGGGTGAAGCAATGGCAGTCGAGATGACAGATCCGGGGTAAGCGGAGGTAACCGTAGTCAAGGCAGGGCCAGGTGTGATTGTCGGCGAAGCCAAGACATCGCTTGGAACGTAGACAATGACAGTTCCGGTTGGATCGGAGCCGGAAGGCAACTGAGTCTCGATAGAGGTGATGGAACCTCCATAGGTAGATGTAATAGTCTCGAACAATGCTCCGGGGGAGCCAGTCGCACCAGGAGAGGGAGCGCTGCTCGGAACAAGGACGACAAGAGTGCCCTGAGAATTGGTTCCCGTGGGCACAATCGTTGAAGTTGAAAGAATGGAGCCTGCATACGTGCTCGTAAGAGTCGCAAAGACTGGATCTCCTCCAGATGCATCAGGGCTTGCCGTGGAGCTTGGCACCAAGACCACGAGAGTACCCACGGTGTCAGTGCCGCTAGGAGCGAGCGTGAATGTGGTGGGCACCGATCCTGAGTAGGTGCTAGTAAGAGTAGCAAATTCCACGCTCGGAGATGCGGCGGGAGTGACAGATGCGCCAACAGAAGGATCGAGATCGGACGTAGGAGCGGCAGTGGGTTCAGGAGTGTAAATAATGACCATGCCAATAACCTCGCTTGCACTTGTTATCGGGCTGGTGGTCGTAGACAGGCCACTTGCAGTCCAGCCAATAGTTGTTGTGATGAATCTGGCAAATCGAGGAGCAAAGACAATGACACTGCCCACAGCCTGCGTGCCAGTAGGGAACGTGGTTTCCGTGGATGTACCCGTTGAATCCCATAGCGTAGTCGTCGTGATGAAGCTGATTCCAGGGGTAGCGGTAACATCAGGGGCCGTGGGAGTAACTCCAGGTGCGGTAGCGGTATCGCCGCCGGCAGCCGTGGGAGTCTGGATAAGAACCAGGCCAACAGTTTCGGTTCCCGTAGGAAGAATTGTGGTGGTTTGAGTTCCCACTCCCGAGTACCCGGTAGACACCGTAATGTAGGAGATGGCAGGGTCGGCGGTCGGCGCAGGAGTAGATGTAGGGACCTGGATAATGACAGCGCCAACGGTATCGGTTCCAGACGGCAGCAGCGTGGTCGTAGTAGGAACCAAGCCAGTGTATCCGACAGTGGTGGTGAAGAATGAAGCCGGAAGAGGTGTCTGGATAACGACGGTGCCTGGGTCTCCTGGGTTTGCGGGAGCGAGAGTCGTCGTCGCAATACCGGAACCGAAGTATCCGCTTGAAACAGTGACGTACGAAGCAATCGGGTCCTGCACAATGACCGTCGCGATGCCATTGGGGTCCGTGGCAGCCGGGGGGATAGTGATGGTGGTCGGCACTGATCCCGTGAAGGGGAGAGTTTGCGTGGTGAAACCAGTGGCAGTGATGGTGTTGCTCTGTCCAGATGGTAAGGGAGTCTGGATGATGACAGTTCCGATCGGGTTGCCGCTGCTAGGGAACAAGGTCAGGGTAGCAATTGTAGGACCAGGGTATCCGATGGTCAAAGTAATGAACACAATTGGCTCCACGGTGACTGTGGGAGATGGCGTGACACCAGCAGCGTCGCTAGGTGTGAGTACGACCAATGTTGTTGGGTCTCCGACGTTTGAAGGAGTCAAGGTCAGAGTTGACGTGACAGATCCAGCGTATCCGCTGCTCAAAAAGACGGGCTCGATGGGACCGCCACCGGCACCGCTGCCTCCGGTCTGACTGGCAACAGCAGTTGGAGTCTGAATCAGGACGGTTCCAATAGACTGAGTGCCAGTCGGGAGGATGGTAACCGTTGTCGGTACAGAGCCAGTATACCCAGTGGTAGCTACGACAAATCCACTTGGGATGATCTGAGGCTCAACTGTAGGTGTCTGGATGAGAACAGTGCCGGGGTTGGTTCCCGACGGCTGAATAGTGACGGTGGTTGGGACAGATCCAGTATAGCCGGTCGTTGCGACCACGAAGCCGGTTGGGACTTGAGCAGGGTCGACGATGACAGTTGGGTTCTGGACGATAACAGAGCCTGGGTTGGTTCCTGAGGGCTCGACGGTCACCGTTGTCGGCACAAGACCAATGTAACCAGTCGTTGTGAGGACGAATCCTGAGGGAACCGAGGCTGGCAGAACAGTCGGGGTCTGGACAATGACAGAGCCTGGGTTTGTGCCAGAGGGCCGGATGGTGATGGTGGTCGGAACCAAACCGGTGTATCCGGTTGTAGTAAGGATGAATCCAGTCGGAACGAGCGTCGCGGGTTCGACGGCAGGTGTCTGGACCAAGACGGTTCCTGGGCTTGTACCAGAGGGCTGAATAGTGACAGTAGTCGGAACTGAGCCAGTGTATCCAGCAGTGGTGAGAACAAATCCAGTTGGAACGAAAGTCGCGGGGTTGGCCGTAGGTGTTTGGACCAAGACGGTGCCGGGGTTGGTGCCCGACGGCTGGATCGTGATAGTCGTGGGAACCAAGCCGGTGTAGCCAGCGGTAGTGAGAACAAAACCAGTGGGAACAACGGGAGGCGAGGTTGCAACAGCACCAGCAGTAGGAGTCTGGATCAAGACGGTGCCAACAGAAGCAGTACCGGTAGGCAAGATCGTAGAGATGGCAGTCACGGATCCAGTGTATCCAGTGAAGAACGTGACAAACTCGGCCGGTTGGACGGAGGGAGACGCGAAAGGACCAGTGGTAGGAGTCTGGACGACAACAATACCAGCAGTCTGAGCACCAGTGGCGGAGAATGTGATGGTGGTCGGCACGGAACCAGAGAATCCAGCCGTGATGGTCGTGAGAGCTTGAGTAAGAGCAGGCTCAGGAGTAACACCAACAGTTGGGACACCACCTGCGCCGCCGCCACCGCCGCCTCCTCCACCTTGAGTAGGTGTCTGGATGAGAACAGTTCCAACCGAGTTGGTGCCTGCGGGCAGAATGGTGGTCGTCAGAGTGATAGTTCCAGTGTAACCGGTCGCGAGGGTGACGAAGGACTGAGGTTGGTTGGGTCCCGGAGAGCCGGTAAGTGACACCGGAGTCTGAACAACGACAGAGCCGGGGTTAGTTCCGCTCGGCAGGATCGTAGTAGTCGTCGGCGAAAGCAAGCCGGGGAGACCGACAGTCGAGGTGGCGATGATGTCAATGAGAGGTTCACCCGGGTCCGACGCGGCCGGGTCTGCTGGCGTGGTTACCTGAACTCCACCTCCAGGGAAGATGGGGGTCTGAACAACCACGGTACCAACTGTGTTGGTTCCAGTAGGCTGGAGCGTAATTGTAGTCGGGACAGATCCGGTAAAGCCCTGGGTGATGCTCGTGAAGATCTGAGCCGGGACAGCCGGGGTGGATTGTAAGGGGTTGACGAAAGGAGTTTCAACAACCACGATACCAGAGCCACCCGAAGAGGGCTGCACGGTGATCGTGTTGGGTGCCGTGCCAGTGAAACCAACCGTCGTGGTATCGGGGACGTTCACCAGGGGAGTCTGAACCAAGACAACGCCGAGGGTGTTGGTTCCCGTCGGCGGCAGAGTCGTGGTGGTGGGCGTTGAGCCGGTGTACCCCTGGAAGAGGGTCGTGAAGACACCAACGCCAGAAACAGCAGCCGGCGCAACAGTCGGTGTCTGAATGACAACAAGACCCGGGTTGGTACCCGTGGGAAGGAAGACTACGGTGTTTGGGTCTGACCCGGCCTGAGTCAGGGTGAGGAAAGATCCCAAGTTAAGACCAGTAGGCAAAGCAATGGGGCCGCCAATGGTGATTCCGGGGATGACGATGGTCTGTCCTCCGATGGTGATGCCAGGGAGCAGAGGGCCACCCGGCGTCGGGACAACGCCTGCGGTGGGAGCCGTTACTTGCGCAGCTGGCGTGAACTGGGCAGACGGCACCTGAACCAAAACAGTTCCAACGCTGCCAGTGCCAGTGGGAAGCAAGATGTTGGTCTCGGGAGTCTCTCCGGCGAAGGGAGTTGTCACAGTCACGAATGGCACACCGGCGGGCAGGCTGATACCTGAAGCGGGTGGCGTAAACTGAGCAGCTGGGACTTCAACGAGAACAGTTCCTGTGGGGTTAGTACCAGATGGGAGCAATACATTGGTCTGAGGAGTCTCTCCTGCGAAAGGGCTCGTGACCGTCACGAAAGGTACACCGGCGGGCAGTGAGGGGCCGGCACCTGCTGCGTTAGTAGGGGTCAAGACGACAACTGTACCAATGCTATTTGGGGCAACAGGGGGGACGGTGAAGGTGGTGGGAGTTACGCCACTGAATCCGGACTGGATGGTCGTGAACGCCCCCGGTAGGAAAGGTTCAGCAAGAACAGTGTCTTGGCCTGCTCCAGGAGTTGCTACACCTCCGGGAGTCGCAGCACCACCAGGAGTCACACCGGGAACGACTCCAGGAGTGACGCCGGGAACGACTCCAGGAGTAACACCGGGGGCGACACCAGCCGTTTGAGCAGGTTGAAGAACAACGACGGTGCCAGGATCAACGGAGTCCGCTGGAGGAATGGTAACAGTCAGGGGGCTGTTACCGTTGATGACTCCGGAGACCGTGGTCAACTGAGCCGGATTGACTACTGGAGTTGCTACTGCTACCCCAGACGGGAGCGGCGTCAGCACAAGAACAGTAGGAGCAGTGGGAACTGCTGCTCCTGGCTGAATGGCACCCGGCTGGAGAGTGACGGTCGTCGCGATAGTGACCGATGCTCCTTGAGTAATGGTTGTCGGTTGCTGGAGAATGTTGGTGGCAACCAAGTCGTTGGAAAAGGGGGTGAGAACCACGACTTGGCTGGCAGTCTGAGCTCCAGAAGGCGGCAAAGTGACAGTTGTAGGCACAGAACCGCTATATCCGCTGGTGATGGCAGCAGGAAGAATCTGGTTGGGAATTGGGTTGACTGAAGGTCCTGCTGTTGGCACAGGGGCGTTGGGTTGACCGGCTGTGTTGACACCGGTCGCAGCCGGAGCAGCCGGGGCTGTAGGGTTCGCCTGGTTGTTTGTAGAGAAGCCAACGGGCAACTGCTCAACAACAGTCGCAAGCGAGTTGTCACCAGCCGGGGCCAAGGTCAAGGTCTGGGGAGTAGTGCCGTTGAAGGCACCGCGGATCGTGACAATCGACGCTGCCAGAGCAGCCGGCGCGGTCGTGGCCGGATCATCACCTCCCAAACCTGCTGCGATGATGACCGTTGCAGGGCCAGTAGCAGAAGAACCGCCCAATGGCAGAGTGATGGTGGCTCCGAGACCGGCAATGGCGAGCGCGTTTCTTGTGATGAAGTTGATGGGGCTCGCAGCCAGAGGAGTTTGCACAATGACGGTACCCAGCGAGGGGCTTGTCGAAGGCAAAATGGTCAAAGAAAGGGGCACGGAGCCAGAGACGCCTCCTGAGGTGATGGTCGTGAAGGGGCCAGTGAAAGCAATCTGCGCTGGCTGGACGACAACAGTGCCAGTTTGGTCTGTTCCTTGAGGAGGAACAGTAAATGTCACTGCATTAGAACCGGTGTTTCCACCGGCCGTGATGGTCCTGAGCGGTCCAGCAAAAATGCCTGCGGAACCTGCGAGAGGAGTCTGGACAACTACGGCACCAACGCTTCCGGTTCCAGTAGGAACAATTGTGAATGTGTTGGTTCCCTCGATCCCTTGAGCGCCTACTGTGGTCGTGAGAAGTCGCTCCAGGAAGTTTGCCTCGCCTCCAGGGGTCTGGATGATCTGCAAGACGTCACCGCTGACTCCAGAGGCCGCCGCCGCAGCTCGGTTTCCGGCCAAGGTGATGGCTGAAGGCGAGACTCCAGCGTTTCCGAGAACGGTGATGACATTGTCGGGACCAGTCACGGTGACCGAGAATCTGTCAAAGGTCTGCGCGAAGACTGTGCCCTCGGTTCCAGAGGTAACAGTCAGGTTCCGAGGCACCCCATCAGCACCACCAACATTGACGGTGGTGTAAAACGCAGCAGGCAGAGCTCCTCCGGTGGGCAGAAGCGTCACCGGGACTGAAGCCGGGCTGGCCGGGGTCGCGCCGGGGTCGTTTGTTACCGGCGGGACAGGATTACCCAAGCTGTTCAGAGCTTCGGTCAGAAGACGACTGGCATCCTCGGGAGAGCCGACGATTGTTGCCGCAGGGCTTCCGACCGTGGGTGTTGGCAGAATACCAGCTCCGGTCGTCGCGTCGGTGAGCGCAAAGGGGGTGAAGACAAGGTAAGTGCCAACGCCATCCGGGCCAGAGGGAAGCACGGTGATGGTGCTTGCCTCTGTTCCCGACTGGCCACCTCTTGTGATCGTGACGTATGCGTTGGGGAGAGATGAGATTCCCTCGATGATTCTGGCGCAGCAGGTTAGCGTTGTGTAAGTGTCCAAGTTGAAAAAGATGAACTTACCTGGTCACTTCGGAGGTGAGAGTGCCCAGCTTGTCGATTTCGGTGATGAGCGTCAACGGCGCGTTGGTGACCGTAAGTGTAAGTCCGTCGTCGAGGATCAAGACTGTGTTGGCCGGCAGAAACGCGCTTATGTAGATTGGGCGGCGCACGACGAACTGTACGGGCTGGACTTCGACGGACGTGATGCCAGCTGTGCACATGGGATTGTCGGGGAACTGAGGCAGTCCTGACGCAAGCCAGTACTGCCCAGCAGAGGCCAACAGGCCTAAGGTTGTGAAGAGCTTCATGCTGAAATATTACTATTAACAATGCGTGATATCCAGCACGACGACAGAGTCTCGAGACCGTCCAAGACACCAGGTCTGGAAGCCGTGCGGGAGCAGGCTTCTTCTCTTGCTTCGACTCGCGTCCTGGGTATTATTGATTAGGTCGATGATACTATTCGGAAACTGAGACTTCAGGTCGTATGATGAAAGGCCTGATCGTTATTGAACAGGCACTGGCATCTCGCGAACAGAAGACGGGAGGCGCCGTTTGTTCCAACGGGGAGAAGGGGGGATTGGCGAACGACAAGAGTATGAACGCCCGTGAAACAAATGGGTATTAAGGTTAGGGGCAGTATTGACGACACTTCAATTGTTTTAACGAAAAGATAAAAGATGCCTTGTGTCCGTTGCCGCGAGACTGCTGCGTGCCTGGCGAACGGAATGGGCTTGATGGGTGAGGAATGTCGCTCCTTTGCGGAAACTGGAGGACCTGTGTTCAGCCCGGGTTGCGTGCCAAGTTGTCACAATGTCTCTCCGTGACAGCAAGATTTTGCCCTGGACTACAAGAAGAGCACCTCCCGGGACACGATGAGGAAGGGTAAAAGAGGAAATCCAGGGAGGCAAAAGGCAACAAGAGAGAGGCGGCGAGAGGGTAAACCGTGGCGAGATCATCCCCCGGGCCGAATTTTCCTCGAGCAAGGCACGGGGAAAATTCAGGAGTTCATCTTGAAAACGGGTTGAATGGATGCTTCCCGACTTCATCTCGCCTCCACCGCGACTGGTTCTGGCCATTTCCTGCTCTTTCCGGCCATAGGTGCGTGATTGTTCGCTGGACCTTGCCGAGGGGTCTTGCAATCTAAGACAAGTCCGTCAACCGAGAGATGGCCAGAACCGCATCGGGTGCCCAGACTGCGGAATCCTTGACTGTGTTGATGAGTAATTTGCGATCTGCAAAGTGAACAATCTCATTGTTGTTCCTTGTAGCGTCAGCAGGGAACGAACGCTTCGTATCCAAGGCATGCGGAGTGATGTTGAGTTGCCAGTTCCGATCCCAGATCGCTCGCCCGCGGATGACGGTTGAGTCCGTTGGGGTGACAACATTAGCGTCCAATCACCGAAGGCTGCCTTGAGGGTGGATACGGATGTCCAATCACGGACATAGCTTGTGCTGCGGATTATGCTCCCGCTCTTAGATCAGAATGCCCTTCACCTCTTTCATGTTAGGACGAACAGTTGAGCTTTCGGCCGGAAACGTTGATGCAAGGAGCTTGGGACACGTAAACGCAGGAAAGGTCGGTTCGAGGAGCTGAAGATAATCGCTCCAAATGCGTCCAGCTTCTGGCTCGGGAGGCGTTTGTGCAAAGAGGCCGTTGATGGTTGGAGAAGGTGGCGTTCCCAGTCATCCGCCCTCTCCCGCCCTCTCCTCTACTCCTCTGCTCCTCCGCACCCTCCGCAGCACCAGTGCCAATCCAAGCTATCGCCGCCACAGACCGAAAGCAACACCGCAGGATGAGGTTCAGAATGAGGCTGCGAGCTTGGGGTCCTGGGCGTGGGTCACACACAGTGGGCTAGACAATTAGCACGTCAACTAAAGACGGGAATGAAGATCTCGGCGACAGTTGGGCTGCTGGTGCCCGGCGAAGCCGCCGTGGTTGGTTGAAATTCTAAGACACCCCCCTATGAGTCCAGACCCTTGAACTCAATCTCACCGTTCCCACGGCGCACTGACAGCTTCTTGACTATTGCTAGATCTGACTTTGTCGGATCCGGTTAACTCGAGTGGACAAGACGGCCCGGGACAGTTGGGCAACCTTACCCGATGACCAACAGAGCTGACCGCACCCGGAGAGAGGCGCTGGCCCAGGCCGGGTATGGTACACCCCCAGACATACGTGATCACGATCGCAGACCCTTGGTCTTGGCCGGGTTGCATTCGGACTCTGTGTTCCCAAATTGTGCTCATACTGAACCCCCTTTGGCTTTGTCGTGATGGCCCCTTCCGCTCCGGAGGTAGCTTGGGCGTCTGCCCGACGTTGGTTTGTGAACTTTTGAGTTGACGCCCTTGTGACATGACGTCCGGAGATGGACGTCACAGTTGACGAAGGCTTGGCCAAACGCTAGAAGAAGCATACGATATCTCCCCGGCTCGATATGAGATGTCCTGATATAGAGTTTGTCTGCATTCCTTCATGAGGCTTCGATTTCGATCTCACTCACACTTTGCGACACTGGGCTGCGACACAACATATTCAACATGTCTCCTCAAAACACTTTCACATTCCTCCTTACCCTTGCTGCCGGTGCTGCTGCCGGCCGGGTCCAGTACAGACAAGTGGACTGCTCTACGACAACAACACTAGACGCTCTTACCGTCACCAGAGTAGAGCCCATCTCGATATATATCCTGCCTGAACAACAGCAGCAACAGCCCACAGGTACGGGAGCAGACGATGAGGGTTTCACGGCAGTCTACACAACCGTCTACCCAACCTTCGCTGCGGAATGTTCTGAAGGTCTCAGGGCAGAGACTTACACCATCACACAAACTTGCTCTGGTTCCATCACCCAATGCCACGGATACGGTGATGACCTGCCCCCAGGCTTCACCACCACTCAGGCAGTTTGCACCGACGGCCCCACACCGGTCACTGCGGTGCTCACCGTCCCTCAGGAGACTGATGCCGTGGTCACCGTCACTGTCGAGGAGGTCATCACTGAGCCCGGTCTGACTACTACTCGCCTTGTCACCAAGACCTGCGCCAACGGCCCTTGTCTGCCAGACATTACCGCCGCCGCCATTCCTGGGGCTGACAGGTTAACCATCAACGGAGGCACTATTGTGCTGCCTGTCACGGTCACCAAGACTGAGACCGACAAGACGACAGCAACTGAGAAAGAGACCGCCACGGTCACTACTACCAGCGACTCCAACGAGTTCAACCCCAACGGCTTTAACAGCGGAGCGGGACACATGATCCCCTCCAACAAGTCCATGGTTTTTGCCATGAGTGCATTCGCTCTTTTGTTTCTTTTGTCAGCATAGTTAGCGGAGGCAGTTGGGAGGGAGGGTATCATGTCATAGCGTCTGATTGATGAGGTTTGCAAAAGCGACCAAGGTTTATGAGCCTATTCACGAAGAATATCTGATACCATTCTGTTTTAATACCTAGTATAAACCTTCTCGGGTTATTCCTTCTATTTCCTGTATATTCTTCTTTTCTTTTCAAACGTAATTTACCTTAGCCATCACTTCAACCAGTATCATAGAACTGCTTGAGACGCTTGACGGTCTTTGGCCCAAATTTACTACCTGTAATAATCAACATTCTCCCAAATCGCCCTCGTGAAGTTGACAGCGTGCCAATTTGGAAAAATGGACCTGGGGGTCTTGGGCTGTTCGGACTACGTCTCACCAGCGACACCTATCTCATCCTCAGGAAATCCAGGGATATTCGCGTGTTGTCCATCCAGCTGCTAGAAGTACATGCATCTTCGAGAAGACGACATCGTGGACTTTGGTTCAAATTGGCGATCTAAGAATAGACAACACACGCTGCTCACATTCAACGTAACCCTGACACGAGGGTGTTCATTGAGGACCCCTTATGCGTGATCTTCACTGAGACCACGGTCTTGGGATCTATCCGCAGGGTCGGTAGAAACCTGCATCATGTTCCTGAAGATCTGCAAATTATGCATCATAGATCCCAATGGGATCCCACGAGTGTGAGGGGCAAATACTCAGGTTGATATCACCTCGACGCAGATGTGTCAGACATGTGTTGCCAAGCCCGTCGATGGCGACCCTCGGAACAGCGTTCGAACATCGTCTCTGGGTATTCGTCGTGCATGTGTCTATCCTGCGTGCCTGCTGTCCTAATGCCGTGTTCCCGCGTTTATTCTGTGAAACTCCATCAACATTTCTCATGCGTAATAATATCCCGAATTCCCGCAATAATTTCCGAACTCGATCAGTACATCATTTCCCGGGCCGTTCGGGTGACAAAAGTTCGGTTCATGCGGTGTGATTCCGTGACTGAAGTTCGCTTCGCAAGCCACGGATGTCACTAGCCCATCTCTCCCCATTCCAGCGACAAAGCCGGCTACGCAACTCTGCGCACCCGAGCAACCGCTGCACTAAGATCTGCGTCGTTTCTCGCCCGTTGCGTCTATGCCTCTGATGCAAACTAGGAGCCTCTCTCCTGCGGCAGGCATCTCACCGGTGTTGCTAAGCGTCGCCCCCAACGTCGATCCCTGGGGTGCGAGTTTGCGTTTTCGTAGATGGCGTAGTATGTGCGATATGTGCTCGCCAGATGCCACCACTTCTATCCGTCCGCCAACCATGACATCACATGATCCCGCTCGTCTTCGTGGGCTGACATTCACGCAGATGATGTGTGGGAGGCAGTTTCTGGAGGACTTGCTCCAGCCACCAGACGTGAATGCGAATGTCGTCAGTCAGCTCGGGGTGGAAACTCGTGGCAAAGATGTTCCTCTGCTGAACGGCGACGATGTCACCTACAGAGTCATCCGCCGTGCTCTGGCTGACGCCCTCAACCTTCGTCTTACGCCCGGGCAGTACTGCTAGAACTTCGACTGACGACTTCAGCTCGGCATCTTTGGAAAGGATCTCCTCCACAATTGGCGCGCGAATGAAGACGCCCGGGAAAGGTGCCGACGCCGTTTTCGAACCACCGTCGCCCCTCGACAGGAAGGGCAGGTCGAGGTCCGCAACGAAGCTCTCAATCTGACGGCCAAAGTGATTACGGTGGACACGCACAGCGAGGCCGCCGATGAGCTCCTGGCCACCCTTCTTGGTGGAGTTCGCCTCATCAGCAAGCAGGATGGCGCCGGCGCAGGTGCCCCAGACCGGCTTGCGGTTAATTCTGGTGAAGAATGAATATCAGCCGCTGTCTCATGAATGAGACTCAGTAAGGGGTATGATGAGAAAACTTTGCCAGGAATTCACCAATGACATCACGTTGCTGCGCCCGCGGACTCACTTTACGAATTCTCTTAAAGGTTCCATCAGGCCGGACTGCGTGGCGACCAGGGAGATTGTCGTGCTTTCGCCGCCGGGAATGATGAGGGCATCACAGCGGCGGAGCTGCTCCTCGGTGCGAACTTCGGTGGTCTCGATTTCGGGAATCGGACTTGGCGCCGGGGCCGATGCGAGTGATGCGGCAGCCTTCCGGACGAGCTCGAGGTGCTCGTGGAAGCCGCCCTGCAGGGCCAAAACGCCGACAGTAACAGCAGGCATCGTCAAGTCGTGATGATGTGTGAGTTGGTGGTGAAAAAGAGTGCTGTCCTTGAGAATAAAGGGTAAAGTGGTTGAGATTTGCCGTGTTGGTGATTGAGTCATTCACGTAACACACCCAGACCAGGTTATGGACCGAACGACGATAACACGACACTAGGAGAACGGGATGTGCGTGGATTGAAGCAGCCTTGGCGATAACGGTCGTGCCACTGAACCCTCGCAGCCCGTTGCTAGCCAAATGAGCGGTTTAGTGAGGTTCTGGGGTCGTTGTCGGCGGCGATCGGGTCCGTTGGACACGGGGGATGGCGGCGTCGCGGTGTTAATATGGGCGCCGCCGTATCGATATGGAAGGTCACTAACGGCGCAAAGGGCGTAATAACACAGTCATTTGCTAGTGCAATGCAAGTAATTGACAGAGTCAAACGGCGGAGTAGCAGGATCCGTGGGGGCCGCTGTAGATGGAGGAGACATGGAAAGGCATGGAGAGGCGGCGACGCAAGAAAGTATTGCACGCATATCGAGCCTGCGCAACTCAGGAATTGATCCCATGTTACTCCATCATGCCGTGAACGACGTCAACTTATCAGACAGGAGCTGAAAGATGCAGAGATTCCGCACGGGAGCTGGTAAGGCGGAGGCGGATGCATTGCCGCCTTGCAGCTGTACATCCGACGGCAGCCGCCCTCCGCCCTTGGCCCCCCAGAATTGTTCGCCGCCGGTCGGAGCACTTGCTGGCCTCAGAGTCGACGGCCGCGGTGCTTGTTACTCTATCGTAATTCCATTGAGGAAAGGTACCTTCGGATAGAGCTCCGAGAGACGAGCAGCATTGAGAGTCACTGCGGACCATCCATACATGTCCACAGCAAGGACCCTTTCTTACTCCTCAGTTCTCCTCAGTGCTCACAGACTCCGCCACCCGTTCAAACACCGGCGCCGCCCACCGCCCGCTATGAGCAGCTTTCTATGACACTGCGATTCTCATGAGAAGGTTTCCCCTGCACCAGGACCCCGGAGTGACCGCATGTTGCCTTTCCGAGATCGGGGACGAAGGCGCCCAACACGCCCTTCTGTGATTCCTCGGCGGGCTCTGGGGTTCCCTACGGCCAAATGGCCGCCGACTCAGTCGTTGCTCGGCTCGCCTAGGCAAAGGTTTTGAGTGTACATACAGTACACACGTCCATCTGCCGCTCGCGAGGATACCGCGGAAAACACGGGATGACTCGGTACAGTTAGAAAAATTTTCTCGTCCAATGGTGACTCGTTGTTGCTGGGCATCCCGTGCATCATCAGTTGTCGCCGCCACCATATACTTAATTATTCGTTCCCCCATTCTTCTCGAAGGACCCCTCTCCCCGGATTCTGTTACCGATCACCGAACGTACCAAAGATCCATTGCGGAGCGGAGCACTTTTTTCTGACTTGCTTGCTGAGGAATCCTTCTTTTCCTTCTGATTTGCCTGAAAAAAACATACCCCTCACACCCCGAGCCGCATTATTCCCGGACCTTATCCTAGACCTTCTGGAACACGATCACTATTTTGCCTCTCTCTCTATAGTCACTGCGGTTCATCAGTCAAACTCAATCAAAATGACCAACAACGACGCTACCAAGACCAATGGCGATGCCAAGAGCTCCTTTGCCGTCAAGGCCGGCCTCGCCCAGATGCTGAAGGGCGGCGTCATCATGGACGTTGTGAACGCGGAGCAGGCCCGCATCGCCGAGGAGGCCGGCGCCTGCGCCGTCATGGCCCTGGAGCGTGTCCCCGCAGATATCCGTAAGGACGGCGGTGTCGCCCGCATGTCGGATCCGGCCATGATCAGGGAAATTCAGAACGCCGTCACCATCCCCGTCATGGCCAAGGCCCGTATCGGCCACTTTGTCGAATGCCAGATCCTCGAGGCCCTCGGCATCGATTACATTGACGAGAGCGAGGTTCTCACTCCCGCCGACAAGGAGTACCACGTCGAGAAGCACGACTTCAAGGCCCCCTTTGTCTGCGGCTGCCGCAACCTGGGCGAGGCCCTCCGCCGCATTGCTGAGGGTGCCGCCATGATCCGCACCAAGGGCGAGGCCGGCACCGGTGATGTCGTCGAGGCCGTCACCCACGTTAAGCAGGTCACCAAGGACATCGCCCAGGCTAAGGCCATTCTCCAGACCGAGGGTGTTCTTGGTCTCCGCGCCTTCGCGAGGAAGCTCGAGGTCGACCCCGCGCTTCTCCAGCAGACCGCCGAGCTGGGCCGTCTGCCCGTTGTCAACTTCGCCGCCGGCGGTGTTGCCACCCCTGCTGATGCCGCGCTCATGATGCAGCTCGGCTGCGACGGTGTCTTTGTCGGCAGCGGCATCTTCAAGTCCGGCGACCCGGTCAAGCGCGCAAAGGCCATCGTCAGGGCGACGACGCACTACAAGGACCCAAAGGTTCTCGCCGAGTGCAGCGAGGGTCTGGGCGAGGCCATGGTCGGCATCAACTGCGACAGCATGAAGCCCGAGGAGAAGATGGCCGGCCGTGGATGGTAAGGAAAGAAAGAGGGTGTGAGGTTGTAGAGCTCGGACTGTGTGCAGGGTAGCGTGTAGTAGTGATTTGGTGTTCACATGGGTCATGACTCTGCGACATGAAATGCAGAATTTCTTTTTGGAGTGTTCAACATGGGCATTGTGGCCGCTTTACAGCTAGCGAAGCCGAGGTAGCCATCTTCAACGGAGCATTGGGAAAATTGGCATAATAAAATTCACTTGACCTCACTCAGTCTGATCTGATGATGTGCGCAGCGATGTCTCAGAAGTGACTCGCAGAGAGTATGGCTTCGCTCTCGGCCGAACTTGACATCCATGTTGATGAATAAGAGCACGAACCATTGCGTGTGACGCCCGCCAACACGTTTCTCATGACTCTTCGCAACCCTTACATACAGCTGAGTTGTTCAGCTCTTCGCATCGATGTGTCTTTTTCAGCTGAGCGGAACGATTTTGACATGGCGCTAGCAGCTCGCTTTCGCTCAACTCTCACCCGCAGGTGGTTGATAGCGGGACCACTTCAGCTGTGGACCTCGAAGATGGCGGCGGACATAGCTCAGTTGGGAGAGCGTCAGACTGAAGTGGGTTCATAACCCTGGAAACTTCATTCAATCAATCTGAAGGTCGTGTGTTCAATCCACACTGGCCGCAACTTCACCTTTTGCCAATTCAACATGCATCACACGCCAGTAATGTGTGTTGTTAACGGCTTGTTTTTGCCTTGAGTTGACTTTTAACCCGAGCAGATTCCTAGCTAATGCGTCAGTCAGTTCACTTAGTAAATGAAAAAGCTTCATATTTGCAGCTCTGATTGCTTGTATTGTGTGTAAGTCGTCACTGAGCATATACACTGCTAAGTAGCGAGATGTCTTCCGTTATTCACTCACTCATTAAGTACGTGACTGCGATGAAGCAGCAGATGTGGGATCCCGGTGGTCACTCGCGTACTTTGAATCTCGCCAACAATTTGTATTAATTATATTGTCCTTTAGTTGTTCTACTCCAGCCCTAAAAGATTCACCCAAGCGGGTCAATAGGACGAAACGCCCAGATCATCGCTAATATTGTTACTATTTGCTGAAAAACTGCTAAATTTCATCACTAACTAACCAGATTGTGTTAAAATAGCTACTTCAAGGTGCTAAATAAACATAGTCTCTCTCACCTTCACATATGTTCCCCGAGGTGATTATTCATCTTTCGACTAGAAAGATAGACAATTTTGCAGCTTACTAGTAAGCAATTATCTATGAAGAATTGCAAGACGTTGTCGAGTTGATGATAGATTAAAGTCAGATGGTTCTGCTTTCACAATGGCAATTGAGGCAAATGTATTTCATTCGGTTATAACAAACCACTGACAACTACCCCAATGCATATGAACCGGCTGCGCTTTTGGGTTGATTAGTGATAGAGACTTCGTAACGGCCATCCCATGTGCAACTGGCGGTTGGTAATACGAGGCAAAACTGGACTTGAAGTCTCAGCCACTCTGGCAGGCAGAACAGGAACCCAATAGAGCTGGGTAATGTGAACAGTAGTAAACTTGTTGGAATTTGCACCCGCCCAACTTCTTTCCTTCCTCCATCGGCATCCTTCATGCTGCTTTTTAGCACCAGGAACTTCAGATTTGCGCTTTTTTCCCGTCATATTCAAGGCTGTGCTGTGTGCTCGGCTCTTTCCAAGTGCCAAATCTACATCGTGGGCTGTGATTTGAAGGCTTCGAAGCAGTACCAAGAATCCGAGTTGGCGTGGCGTGCAATTACAGCCTCCCTAGCAACTTCAGATTAAGCTCGGGGCTTCAAAAGTTCTATCCAGGCGCAGAGCCACGATACTGGCGCGCACCATGCTAACAACACACCTTCTTCAGTAGCCATGAGTCTGGCGGCCGCCATCAGGCGCTGTCGTCGGCCACCGCGAAGCGCGCCGTGGCTCCAGTCTGTGAGGCTGCGAGACGCCTTTCCCGCGGTTGTGGAATGTGGCTATGGGGAATCGGACGATCGACAGGGGCACCATTTCAAGCTGAAAAGCCTCCAGCCGATATCTCCGTTATTTTTTCTCCTTAATCGCGAATAAGGTTGTTGGAGAGTAGTCATGACTGGGAACAAAGGGCTGATGTTGTGATGGCGCGAGGGCGGTTCTGGGCCCCCCAACATTCAGGCGCCTAACCTAGCTCCCGCAGCCGCAACTTGCTTGCTTGTTGTCGCTGCTTTCACGGCCAAGTCCGGCTACGCAGACTCGGGAATGGACGGACTATTGAGTTTACAATGTGCCGCGTGGGCATAGCCACGTACACTCTATCGGAGGGACATCGAGATCCATGGACAGATTTATTATATGGTAGGTTGCTTGGAATCAGCCTGGCAGCGCTGAGCTGACGGTGCCCGGATAGATGTTCCTCTGAGTCCTCGGCAAAAGGACCCTCTATATGAGCAGTGTTGGTATTACATGTATGTTACAAGATGGTATACACGTGATTTGAAGACAGCGTTCGTTCGCCAGTCTAGTTACCCAGTGCCATTCGCTGATTCTTCACCGCATGGCGAACACGACGTGCGGCGCGTGCTACCATGGCCTTGTCGTCCAGGTTGTAGCCTGGAATGGTGCCAACGATTTTGGAGAAGACACCCAGCCCGCGGTTCCGGAAAGAGTCTAGGGCCAGCTCGATGCTGTCGACCAAACGCAGCGTGTCCTTGTCGTAGAACAGGCCAGCATCCTGCATCTCATCGAGAAGGGCGAGCACAGCTTGGGTATCGCCATGGCGAAACCATAGGATGGATGCCAGCTCGTTGTAGAATGGCGTCGAGACGCCCAGGACGTAGGAGGCGATTCCAAGGGCCTTGACGCGGGGGAGAATGTTCAAGGCCAGCGGTGAAGGCCTGGCGAAGACCTGATCGAGGGTTTTGAGGCCTTTGAGGAGGTGCATTGAGTAGATGGGGCCGTGGGTGTCCATGTCTAGGACAGGCTTCTGCTTCTGTGTCTCGGTCCCCGGCTGTTCCTCCTGCGGCCTGTTCTCGGCAATCCCAAGCTTCTCAATCATGGAGAAGACCTCCTCTTCCAGCACATTCCAAACTTCGACGTCCGTTTTGCAGGTGTCCAGAATCTGTTGCAACCTGGCGCCCTCCATCATGTGCAGGTCGTCTCGTGCGTCTTGCACCTTGGTGGGAACATTGGCTTCGTCCTCCTCACTCTTCAAGGCGATGCGAGACACTCTCTTTGGGCGGTCTTCTTCGAAATAGCCGCCAGACATTTCTCGCATTCCGAGGGCAGCTTCGGCAGCTCGACGCAGGGACGCAGGGTATTTGCTCAGGACATCGTCGCGGGATGTGGCGTCGGAGTCGGCATCAGCAAGTTTTCTTGAGGGACCGCCGGGGGCTGCGCTGCGCTTCGCCATGTCGTCGAAGATCTTTCGGAACACATGTCTTTCGCTCGGAGTGATTGTAGATCTGATTTCGCCATCGCGGCCGCTAGGGATGTCGGGACGTTCTTCTTGAATTGAGCCCTCCCACTCGAACGGGATGGGCTGCTCGCGGGGGGGTCTGCTCAGACGGCTGGCGGTGGTTGAGAAGGACCGAAGAGCGACGGAAGCCCGAAGTATCGTCCTCGTCTGGTAGAGGAAGGGCGTCAATGTCGTAGCCATCTTGGGTATTTTGCTGGCGGGCGCAATGTCGGTGATGTTGTTGCATCCAAACTGAATGGAGCATTGAGCTTTTTGCGACGGCCTCTGGAAATTTTCCATGTCGAGCCCGCCATCCACTGGCACTGGCGCGGGACGGGAGCTCGGGCCATGCCGAAGACAATCGGGCCATCCCTGGGGCCCCTGCAGCAGTCTAGATGGCTGACGTAATAGACTTAAAGTCCCTGCAGCAGCAGACGCGCTGCGACGCGGTTCGAATCAATTAAAGAAAGTGCCCCGACGCGCCGCTCTTTCCGGCGTGAATCCCCTCGTCTTTGGAGGCGCCAGTGGCAACCACCTTTTTCTTCTCACCAAGTCGCCCGCTACTGGTGTTTAATTCCTCAGAGACCTCTCAATCGTATTTGCATACAGCCATATCCTTTTTTCAAATTCCTGAAGTTCACTCTTTCCAATAGCAATCTTCAGCACCTCCGCTGTCTGCAATAACTCACTTTCTTACATGCCCTTGGCCTTCATCGTCCAATTCGAACTCACGATTTCTCGCTCATTCATCACCCCTGCCGCAAAATCAGCTTACGATTACTGTTGCGAATAATTGCATCGTCCCGAAGCATTACTACCCACAACCGCCACGATGCCGATCAAGAAGCTCAAGCACGAGCCAGAGGAGAAGCCCATGAGCGCCTTCGAGCGCAAGAGGTTGGAGAATATTGCCAATAACCAGACTATTTTGAAGGATCTTGCGAAAACCTCGAGCAAGTTGATGCCCGAGAAGCCAAAGGCAGCGCCCAAGCCAAGACCCGCCGTCAAGAGAGAAGCTGCCCCCGCAGCCCCAGCTGGCCCCGTACGACGAAGCGCCCGAGTCGCCGGTCTCGACGCAGACAATGAGACTCTCAAGCGCAAGTACGAGGTTGAACTAGAGGACCAGGCAGCCAAGGAGAAGGCCAAGAGAACCCGCGTCAGTGGAGACCTTAAGCTGGGCGACATCGCGGTCGAGGGCAAGAAGTTTAACAACGGCTTCGATGGGTTGGGAGCCCTGCTTCCTCGCGGCGCACAGCCTGGCGTTCCTACCTTTACTGATGAGGATGTCAAAAACACCTCCGATAAGGACTTGAAGGAATTGCGCGAGAGGATGAGCGGCTTAGAACTCTACCAAAACTGGGCTCCCAACGGTATGTCATCATCTCCACAAGTACAAGCTGTTGAGCTAATCGGATCATAGACATCAAGATCTGCCCTCTCAGAATCTACAGTTCGACATTCCACCCGACCGAGGACAAACCCCTCATATTTGCTGGCGATAAGGAAGGAGCACTGGGGGTTTTCGACGCCTCACAGGCTGGACCCGAGACTAACGACGAGGATGAGGACGACGACAGCTGGTTCGAACCCGCCATTGGGGCTTTCAAGCTTCACACCAGGACCATAACATCAATCATTGTTTCGCCGTTCGACCAGCAAAAGGTTTACACTTCGTCCTACGATTCAACCATTCGTGTTCTTGACCTGGAAAAGGACATGTGTGTGCCTGTCTGGGAGCCTAGTGGCAAAGACGATGATGTTCCCCTTTCGGGGATTGATGTGCCCCTGACGGAAGAGAATATCATCTACTTCTCAACGCTTCAAGGCGCCGTTGGAAGAGTTGACACCCGCACGCCCAAGGACGCGGAGATATTCTCCCTCTCAGACAACAAGATCGGCGGTTTCTCTCTAAACCCGCGTGAGCCGCACCTGCTGGCTACAGCCTCACTCGACCGCACGATGAAGATTTGGGACATGCGCAAGATTAAGGGCAAAGGCGACATGAGGTATCCCCAAATGCTTTACGAGCACGACAGTAGGTTGTCGGTCTCGCATGCAGCTTGGAGCTCCGGCGGCCACATTGCGACGTCCTCCTATGACGACACAATTAAGATTTACGACTTTGCGGACAAGCAGAAGTGGGACAAGAAGGGAATGGAGCCTACACACCAAGTCCGTCATAACAACCAGACAGGACGATGGGTCACAATCCTGAAGCCTCAGTGGCAAAAGCGTCCCAAGGACGGCATTCAAAAATTCACAATTGGAAATATGAATCGATTTGTGGACGTCTTTGCGGCAAATGGAGAACAGCTAGCCCAGCTGGGAGGCGATGGCATTTCTGCCGTTCCCGCCGTTGCGCAGTTCCATCCGACGATGGATTGGGTGGCTGGGGGCACGGCAAGTGGCAAGCTCTGCCTCTGGATGTGAGGTGTCACCGAAACTCAGGGTGAAAAGCTTCTCGCTTGACTTCTCGAGCTAAGGCTCCAGTTCAAGGGCTCAATGCGTTCAGCGTTTGGGGCGATGTTGGCATGCAAAGCAGCGGTCTCGCCAGGGCAAGAATACAAGGTCGTCTAGTTCATCTGTATGGTTAGATCTCGGCTTGATCGCTGAAGGAAGCTGGATGGTTTGACATTTATGTTGGAGGGGAATTGGATGTTGACACGGCGTTAGAGTGACGGAAGCATTCCGATATCTTGATTTGCAGGAAACGGTCAGAAAAGACTGACGATATTGGCTTTACGGGGTATACCCCATTGCACTTGCTTGTTGGACTGCGGATCATGGAATCCGAGTGGTATATAGAGGGAAAACCAGCCCTAGCTTTGTGTGGTTGCTACGTTAGACTCGACATTTGAAGAAACTGAGATGGTTGACCAGCTATCGGATGTTGTGGCAAAGTCCATCTGCATTATAAGTAGTTCCATATCCATTGATCCGTCTTTGGTGATTCTTGTGACGATAACAGCTATTCATGTCAACCTCCCATCCCTCCTGGCACATTGTAGAAGAGTGCTTCAACGTGCTGAAATTTTTGAGGAGACAACGCACCATCAACCATTCTCTTTCTGAGCAAACGAGATCAAGTTAAATGGTTCATGGGCCGGATTGCCCTACGCCAAACAGTCTTGTAGTCACACCCGGCGCCGGTACATGTGCTTTAGCCAGGCCTTAGGTAACCTCCGTGCGTGGGTGAGGAGGCAACGAGTTGTATTAATACCAAATCAAAGGAATCGCATTCCCTAATGATAAGCTGAGCCGGTGGAACAGAGATCTCGGATACGCCCTCTGGTTTAGCGTGTTTGGTCCTCTGAGATTCCGTCGATTTTCGCAAGTCAGGTAGTTGGGCAATTTGAAATCGTGATATTAGCAGCTCAAAATTCACTGTATCAACAACTTCGGCCTAACAACCCCGGCTTCCTCTTCCATGCTTTTCAACTACCCCTCGTCCTTATTTGCGGTGTTGTTTTAAGCATATGGACAAGAAGTAATGGCTTATGTGCAAAGTCCAAGGTGTCGCCCAGGCTCACGCAACCCTGTAGGCATCATAAATGACAGTAGCTCCCAGCCTAGCACCGCTGCCAACCCACATGGCCGTGTTCACGACGCTCTTGTATCTCTCATCACCCGTCTCCATCTTCACATTCAATCGGAAGCTGTACTCATCAGGCTTGACGTCGTTGGCGCGGGCCGGGTCGAACAGCCTCTCCATGACGTCCCTCGGCCCGTAGCGCCAGCCCGTCGTCTTGACGGTGATGTACGCAGGCTCAGCGTCGTCCGTCTTCAGCAGGTACGACGTCTCGACGGCGGTGCTCAGGTCCTCGGCGACGACGATCTGGCTGTCCTGGCCGCCGGGGACGACGGTGCCGGTGCCCCACTTGGCCGTGAAGACGCCGCCGGAGAAGGAGATCCAGTTGCGCTTGCCGAACGGGCCGACGCCCACGGCGATGAGCGGGTTCAGGTCGACGACGATGCGGAAGTCGAGGTCCAGCTTGGGCACGGGCAGGGGGAAGGCTGCGCTGGTCAGGTTGGCGGGGAGGTTATCCTCGCGGAACGGAAGGTCCTTGCTGAGATGCTTTAGGTCAGCCGCGTTGCATGTGTGTCTAAGCCACGTGGGTGGTGAGGAGATCTGAAATACCTCATTGTGAGATCAGATCTCGCAGTGCGATGTTGATACGTCTGCGCGGGAAGACTGTGAGGAAGATCCTTGGATGGTGTGAGCTTAGTGGAGAAACAGCAAGCATTGAAGGCGGGTTCGGGCGCCGAACCTTGGGGATAGGGGCTAGCCTCTGGGACTTGGATAGGAGAAGCAGAGCCGATGTGAAGGAAAGAAACAGAAGTGATTTCAGAGACATTGAGTTTGCGAGATATCGTCACTGGAGTCGTGAAGGTGAAGCTTGGGGATCCATGAATGATTTCCCTCATGAGGGTGCGGTTTTATTAGCCCCGCCCCCGCAGTTGGAATCGGCGAAGATGCCGGCAGTTCGGGTCCGGATCTCGGGGAGGGGATCTGATGAGATCCGGCGGATGCTAGGTCTCTTTCAACCGGCTTGCGCGTTGAGAGTGCACATCAACATCTCCTCGTGGCTGACAGGTGATGCTGTCGCCGCTCCTTGCCCCGAGAGACGGTAGCGCGCTCGCAAGTGTTCGCTTAATTTCGAGTCCGCAATTCAAGTCGCGTTGGTTACTCTAGCACGACGACTGCAGTACTTAAGCGTCGTGCTCACCGACCCTTGAAAAAGGTCACCTTCTGGCCAGAGGCTCATCTGATGGCGAGTGCGACCATGTCACATGTAATCAAAGGCTTATTCGTCGCGCGAGTCGTCCAATCAGCTCAGTGCAGCAAGTGGCATCATGTAAGTGAGATGTTGCGATGCGTGTCACAGGGTCTCCCCTCATGTTCGACGGGAGAACATTTCGTTACCCCGAGCAGTTGGGTTTGTTTTTCTCTGTTGGTCACTTTGTTTTTCTTCCCTTGAGGTTTGGGGGCAGCCCAACAAAAGAGGGGACGGGGGATGGGGGCGGATCTGGGATTCCCCCGCGATGCATCTGAGAGGAGGCCCAGGCGAAGCACAGTTGGTTCAGCACAGTGGTTGCTTGCGGCGACGCTGGGCTGATGTCATGTTTTTTTCTGGGTTTGTGGTCCCCTCCCGCCAAGATGGACGTCCGTGGCCGACGTCCGTGGGCGCTGTTGAGTTGTTTGGTTAGACTTGGAAGTGTTTGTTGCCCACGGACGACGTTTGGTGAGATATCGAGAAGAGCAGCGCGTCGAGGACGACATGGACTGCCTTCTACCTTACCTGGTGAAGCACCTCGGGACGCAACGGCAAGGCGTCAGGTCACTCACATGGCACATGCATGTCTAAGTGTTTCTGGGCGACATCTTGTGATGGGACCCGGTTGGCGCATTTGGCGTCATGAGCGTGGCTTATCGATAAGAGCTCTGTTATCGGGCCAATGGGAAGCTCAGGACACTCGGAGAGTGGGCAGGTGCAGGGACCACGAACCCCCGCAGCAAGAGCATGCGCCTGCCACCTGTGGCCCAGTGCCATCGGTCCATTCTTGCCTTCCTTCCTCCGAGATGAGACAGAGAGAAAATAAGCAGGCAGGCAGGAAGTACCTACCTACCTTCCAGGTAACCTGAGGACAGTTGCTGCCTCGCAGTTGCCATCCAGAAGGAGGAATCCGAACGCGACCACCACTTCCAGATCAAGTGGATCCCTAAATCCAATCATACGCGACCTCAGGTAAGCAGGGGGGGTAGCGGCATCACAAGCTTCATGCAATCAGAGCTGAGAAAGATGAAGATGAATCCACCCAAGGGAAAAAATGACTGGACCCCTGACAGGGGCCTCTTTATCTGTTTCTTCCATTTGTTCCTTCCATCCATACTTTTGGGGGCCTGGTGTGGCAGTCGGTGACAGACAGTGATGTGAGTCTTTTGGCCCAGTGTCAAATGTTCACGGGTGTAGTTAGTCCAGGACTAAGGCATCTGCACCTGCACCTGCACCAGCAGCAAATAAGCTGCTCCCGGCCAAAGGTACCTCAGACAAGTGAGGTTAGCCACTTGCTTTTCCCTTTCCCATGTCTTTTCCTCTTCCCCTTAGGCGCACTTGCGAACGAACGAACCAGATGCAGATGCAACAGCAGATGCAGGTGGATAGACGGGTCTGACGCGCCGCCCCTTCCACTGTTCCCTGGGCCTGTTCTCTTCCCACCTACACTACGGATACCTTACCTCACTGAGGGTGCTGTGCTCACTAGTTCCTGCCATTCCCATTCGCCTCATCTCCAGCTTTTCTGGTTACATTGCATGCTGAGGTGTTCTTGTTCTTGTTCAGTCCTGGGGTATTCTCACTCTTCTGCCTTCACAGCTGCAAGTCCTCATCCACTCTGATTCACATTTGCATCCATATCCACATCCCCAGCCCAGCATCCATGATCCTCGCTACTTGCTGCTGGTAGCCTAGACGACAAGTTACAACCCCCAAAGTCCATAGTTCCAGAGTCCGGCAGACACGGATCCCATCCGTCATCAGCCATCAACCATCTACCACGGTACCTCCCTCACACATACACCTTTCTTTCTTCCTCTTACCACTTTACTATCTACCTACCTACCTTACCTGCCAACTCAACCTACCCTGCCTTTAACTCCATCTTAATTGAATTGTCCTTTTGCCTCTCTGCTACTCAACCCTTTTAACTTGTCTGTTTGTTTGTATCAACATCTGTTCTGCTCTGCTCCGCTTCTGTCCATCCACACCGAGACCTTGATTGTCGACCAAACCTTGCCTACCTTACCTCACCTCGCCCTACTGTCACCGTACCCAGCCGCCTCCCATCCGAGGCAGCTTGTCCCGACTGCTTAGCCTCGCCGTCTCATCTGCAACCTTCCCCCGAGCTCGAACCTTATCGTCGCCGCCCGAATGTCCCCGCTGTAACCAACAATCTCCCCTCTCCCCCCGCTGTGCGACGCCTTCGCAGCGATACCTCTTGGCCGTTGATTGACGCCGACCGACCGTCTTTCCCGCCCTCCGCCATCGACAACCCGGAGGAGGCGTCAGACGATCTTCTGGCCTACCTTGTGCCACCGACGCGCCCTTTCCCCCAGCCAAGCGCAAACTCAGCCGTCGCCATGCCGCCGCCCGTTCCAGCTGGTGCCCAGAGCATCAGCTTCGGGGCTGAAGAGGACGTCAAGAAACGGGTCGTCAAGAAGCTACAGAAGAAGCGCCACGAGCCGCAAACACCCACCATGGAGCTGCCAGAAAGGTTGAAGGAGGGCGACGATGCCGGCGAGGAGGACCTGATTCCTGCCCAAGGCCCGCCCATGTTCATGAACATGAACCAGTCCATCTTTGGCCTCATTGCCGCCGCCGGCTCCCGCGTCGATTTCCACGACCGCTTCGAGTCCAGCGACGAAGAGAGTGGCGACGACGACGAACGCCATCACACACAACCCGACGGCGTTAACGACGACCGACCGCACCACGGCCTCTTCCTCCACCGCAAACAGCGCCGGCGCAACGACGAGCCCGACGTCGCAAAGACGACCGTCTTGAAAAAGGACTCTTCCAGCAAGAGCGAGAAACACAAGCGCAAGATCTCCGGCCACAAGCTGCTCCGATCCTTGCCGGCGCTTCCCCGGCTGCCGCGACACAAGTCAAAGAAGGAGTCGCCCAAGCTGGAGCCACCTTCCGAAGAAGCCAGCGACGGTTCCGAAGCCTCGCCGTCCCAGGAGCAGGCCGACGACACAAGAGATGATGAGGATGGTCCGCGACTTGCCCCAGTCATGAGCCGCATGCTTGAGGCCAAGGCCGAGATGTCCATGAGACCCAGCTTCGATGTAGAGCGCCGCTCCAGCGACCAACTGACATACAGCGATTCTGCCGATAGCAGCGGCACCGCTTTGGCCCGTCGCCTCCAGGATATTTTCGAGTTTGACCATCCCGAGGCTGTCATTGAAGGTGGGTTTTCCGTGTCGTCTTGCCGGCTGCGCGCCTTGCTGATTCTTGGCAGAGTATCCTTGCTGGTTGCTCCAGAGCGTACTGCTCCAGGGCTACATGTACATCACGGCGAAGCATATTTGTTTCTACGCCTACTTGCCCAAGAAAGCGGTTTGTTGACCCTGAACCCCCTGCTTTCAGCGGTCAAGACTAACGATGCGAACAGCATGAGGTCGTGAAATCGGGCTATTTATCCAAGAGCGGCAAGCGCAACCCCAAGTACAATCGGTACTGGTTCCGTCTCAAGGGCGACGTTCTCGCATATTACAAGGATCCTTCCAACCTCTACTTCCCCCATGGCCAGATTGATCTTCGGTACGGTATCTCCGCTAGTGTGACGGACAAGAAGGACGGCTTGAACTTCACTGTGGTTACCCACCACCGGACCTACTACTTCAGAGCCGACAGCGCGCCGAGCGCAAAGGAATGGGTCAAGAGTCTCCAGAGGGTCATCTTCCGTTCGCACAACGAGGGCGACAGCGTCAAGATTTCGCTGCCCATCGAGAATGTCATCGATATTGAAGATACGCAGATGCTCGAGTTCGCCGATACGTGCAAGATCCGCGTCATTGACAACGACGAGACGTACGCCATCGACGAGTACTTCTTCTCCTTCTTCAGCTTCGGCAAGGACGCTATCAGCGTCCTCAAGATCCTCATCGAAGACGCCTCCTCCAACGCAAAGGATGCGGCGCGACTAAAGGCCCGGCAGGAGGAGGATAGGCAATTGCCGGCGCCATCTGCCCGCAGCTCTATGAGTGGTATCAGAAGAGCCATTGCCCCGCCCAAGCTCAAGACGACCAAGCTCCCCGAAGCTGTCAGGGCAACCCTCTCGCCCTTGTCGACTCACAGCCCTTCTGCTCTCAGCCCGCGGGCCAGTATGGATGCTTCGCGGACCAGCTTCGACGCATTCAGGGGCTTCCGGCGCAGTAGCTTGGACTTGTCGACCATCATTCGGGATTCCTCTCCTCGCAGGAGCTTCAGCGGCAACCGACGGTCCATGAGCCGAAACCGTCTGGACGAGAACCGCCGAGCACCGCACAAGCAAGGCTCCACGGACTCTTATGTACAGTCATCGATGGAGGATCCCAGCTTTTCCGGCATGGTCGCATCATCCAACGAGGACCCTTCCGCAAG